GCAGTCCCACCCATCTGCTGCCTGCCTTGCTGCGATAGGAGCCTGTGGGCTGCCAGCGAGGGACCGAGAGGTGCTCAATGCACCTCATGGTGACCAGTCGTTTGATCGCCCTAGTCATCACGACACTGGTAGATAGATAGATAGATAGATAGATAAGATAGATAAGATAGATAGGGCTGCACTTCACTGCACTTCACTTTGACTGGTTGGACGATCAGATTCTTAGCATATTAGGTTTCTATTATATAGGATAATTTACCAAAGTAAAAATAAAGAGAAAGGGAGAACACTTCATTAGAAATTTTAATAAGTCCCTAGCCAGTTTGGCTTAGTGGATAGAGGATCAGCCTGTGGACTGAAGGGTCCTGGGTTCGATTCCAGTCAAGGGCACATGCCCGGGTTGCGGGCTCAATCCCCAGTAGAGGACATGCAGGAAGCAGCCGATCAATGATTATCTCTCATCATTGATGTTTCTCTCTCCCTCTCCCTTCCTCTCTGAAATTAATACAAAATATTTTTTAAAAAATAAATTTTAGCCGAAACCGGTTTGGCTCAGTGGATAGAGTGTCAGCCTGCGGACTGAAAGGTCCCAGGTTCGATTCCGGTCAAGGGCATGTACCTGGGTTGCGGGCATATCCCCAGTAGGAGATGTGCAGGAGGCAGCTGATCGATGTTTCTCTCTCATCAATGTTTCTAACTCTCTAGCTCTCTCCCTTCCTCTCTGTAAAAAATCAATAAAATGTATTTTTTTAAAAAAATAAATAAATAAATTTTAATAAGAATTTACACATAGTTAACCCAAATTTGTATTCTTTATTTTCCTAGTTTTGAAAGGTACGCATACTGAAATGAGCAGCATCCTTCTAATGTTGTTCAATTGTCATGTGTAATCTGGACCACACTTCTCTCATAAATAGTGATTGATGCCAATTTCAAATTTGTCTCTGATAGGCCTAGGTTATTATTTATGGTTCTTGCTCTTGCAACATCCATAAACACAGTACATATGAAAACATTTGGAAGTAACAAAATTGTAATGTTAAAAAAAGTTATACAAAATAAATAGTATCATACTTTATGTACTCACTAGAAAAAATTTGAGAGAAGATAGTCATTCATTGCTTCATAATTGAAAACATTTTTTCATGTTTTGATACATATATGTCAATTGAATGGTCATTCCAGTGAATTTGTTTCTAAACTATCTACTTCTCTCCAATCACTGCACGCTTGCTTTCAGCATTTGTCCACTTGAGAACCCTATCAAATAAATTTTAGCATGCAGCATCGGAAAGCGGGGAAGATTCCTGCTACACATCTTTTTAGGAAAACGAGATGGTCCGGGTTCATGTTATAAAATACTAGGTTATGAAATTGAATCTAGTGCCACTCTCTGTCTCTTTGCATTCATCTTATACTTGTAAAAGCAAAAAAGACTATGCAAATGTCTCCAAACTTCATTTTTTACTTCCTTGAAAAGTGATGCACTATTTTCGGTAACGTAATAATAAAACTGAGGGATGGTGTTAGTGATAGTTTATTTCACTTTTGCATCATCCTTGTAGGTGATTCCATTCAGGTTTTTTTATTTAGTCTTTTTTAGTATTGCTGGGAATTGAATGATGAATTCCTATAAGATTAAATTAGCAAATGATTTAAGATGATGGGAGGCAATCACAGTGATCTTGTAATTTATCTTAGATTATTTTAGATTTATAAAAGCATCCAGTGCACCCATTCTGATCATTGCAAGATAGAACATGAGCTTTAATTTATTTTTTAGATGACTGTCATGAGATATCAATCTTTACAAATAGAACTGATCAAAAGAATTTCTAAAACATTAGGTCCAAAGATCCCTTATGGTATATTGAAGATTAAAAAATCTTCCTTAAAGAATCATAACTCCTAGTAGCCAAGAGAAACTTTTATAAGAATGTTTTACTCCTTCAGTGTATTTTTAATGGTTGTTGGAGATAAATAAAAATAAAATGTGTGTATGTCTTTTGTTGACCGATCAGAAGAAAGTTGATAAAGAATTTGCTGGTACTTAGGTGAGAAACTTGAAGCATTTTCATGAACATAGATGTGATAGGTCAAATTTTCAGTTTCAGTTAAGAGGTATTTTCTTATGTACTAGGTAATGAACCGATTCATTCTTTTTCTTCCCAGTGAAGTAATCTGTTTGTTGTTTTCACAGTGGCATGGCAGAGAGAAATGCTAATTTTGAAGCCCTTCCTGAAGATTGGCGAGCAAGACTAAAACGAAGGAAAATGGCACCAAACACATAATACTTTAAAAAATTAAAAAACAAATGTTTATTGGGTGTGTGTGGATGTGTGTGTGTGTGGATGTGTGTATTCAGTTCAGAGTCTTAATCTGTTTTATGTTGTCAATAAACTATAAATGTTATGAGGGAGAGCATATGAATTTTGAATTTCCTGGGCAAGAACATAACACCTATAAAGTTTTCACATTTGGGAAATGATATTTTTTCTGTTTTGCTGAAGGGTAAGATGACTGTTTTGACCTGGCTGCCTTTGTTCTCACACCGACAAACTCAGCATGTTAGGTACATTAACCTCATCACTCTGGAACATGTGGCTCATGAGTGTGACACCTTTTTAGAGGACACTGACAGAAAGTGAAGGATTTTCCCTGCCTAATGGAGGCTCAATAAGGGTTCCTAGTATGGTTCTCTCTCTCATTAACTTCTACTCCAGAACAAGTGCAATTAAGAAGGCAGCTGTGTATTCTACCTTGCTTAACTGGGATTATCAGATCTTTCTGACCTTCCTCCAGTCTGCCACCCTGGAGGGCTAGGATATATCAAGTCATTTATCATGTGCTGATAGATGGCCACACTCTCCAAAAGTATTCTATCTCACACATTCTAGAATTGATAGCTGTCATTTCGTGTGCTAGATGAAATTTAAATTTCAGTACAGGCAGCAGCAGCAAGTTCAGGTCTTTGATTTTGAGAATTTCCCCTTACATCTGCGGCAGTAAATGTAACCCTAACAGAAGCCACTGTATGTGTTGATATTGTCTTATTCCAAAATTCACCTCCCTTTCATGTGTGAACGTATTTTCCATAAAATTCCAGTATTTAAAAAGTTTACTATTCTGTATTTTCTATTGTATCACAATCAGGTAAAAGTCACTTTAAACTGAAGAAAAGGCAAACTGTGTTTTAAAGCTCTTTGTATTTCTCCAGTTTCTGACCTTGTAAATTTGTATATATACACTAATAAAGCTTTTTTTATACTTCTGATTGTCCTTTTGCTCTTCTAAACCTGTTATTTCATGATTATGTAACCAAGACAAGTCAATCGTAATTGTTTTTTTCTAATCAAATATGGTAGGGAGGCAAACATTAAAGGACAGCTCTAAAAAAGAGCAAGATTTTGAATCGGTTGGAGGGCAGCAGGGTTAGAAAAAGGCTTCTAGTACCAGAAGATGCTGTGTTTCTTCAATTTTGGAGGTTGCACTCTATAATAGCTAATGTTTAACCTACTAAAATCCAGGAAATAATATGTTCAACATTATGAGAAAATAAAAGTGCTTTTTCAATCCTCTGATTATAAAAGTAATACATACAGGGTGTCCCCAAAAAATGAATACACACTTGATGTTTCTTTTTCAGATTTAACCCATTGGAATTAATGCAAAAGTGTATATACATTGTTTTGGCACACCCTGTACTTACAGATACGGACATATAAAGTCAACCAAAGACAATACAGTGGGGCCTTGACTTACGAGTTTAATTCGTTCCGTGACGGAGCTCGAAGCTCAAATTACTCGTATGTCAAATCAAAAAGTGAACGAGTGAGACACATGATGCTGGGCTGATGTGGCGTTCACTGTGCCAACTAGCAGTGGGGTATCTGAAGCTGGCTCGTAACCCAAATTTTAGCTCGTAACTCAAAGCAAAAAATCAGCCGAGAGACTGCTCGTATCTCGAAAAACTCTTTAGTCGGGACACTCGTAAGTCAAGGCCCCACTGTAGTTTAAATTTGATTTTGGTATATACATGTAATTTTAAAATGTTACCTAGCCAGTGTCATGTATGCTAGTGTGTTAGATGTTACCATTATGCAAGTATTGGGGTGACTGTTTTATGTATAAACTAGAGGCCCAGTGCATGAAATTCATGCACAGGTAGAGAGTCCCTAGGCCTGGCTGGTGATCAGGGCTGATTGGGGCCTTCTGGCTGCCCAGCCAGAGCCTCCCTTCATTCTGCACCGCCCCCTGGTGGTCAGCACATGTCAGAGCGAGCGAGCCCCCAGTCTACCAGTCAAATTTCCAAGGGGACAGTTTGCATATTAGCCTTTTATATATATAGATTGTGTGTTTTTATTAATCCTCACCTGAGAATATTTCCTCCATTGATTTCTAGGGAGGGAGAAGGGGAAGAGAGAGAAACATGGCCATGAAAGAGACAGACTAGTCACCTCCCACATGCACCCCTACAAGGACTGAGAACTTGAACTTAGATTTGTGCCATGAATCGAACCCATGAACCTTCTCTGTGGGCCAACACTAGCCACTGAGAAAAAACTGGCCAAGGCTAAATTGTTTTTCTTGTAATTGCATAGAGCAAATTTCTAGAAATTGAGGCTGTCAATTAGCTGTTAAATTTCTACAGAGCACCAGTGCTTTTGTCACTATCCTACCAAATTGAGATTTTTAAAAATCTTACTAAATATGTGGGTTTAATTTTTCTTATTGTAGAAAGTAATTTTTCTTTTAAATATTTTTAATTGCTTTTTTACTTTTTATGTTTTTATTGATTTCAGAGAGGAAGAGGGAGAGAGAGATGATGAGAGAATCATTAATCCGCTGCCTTCTGCACGCACCCTACTGGGGATGGAGCTGGCAACCCGGGCATGTGCCCTGACCGGGAATTCAACCGTGACCTCCTGATTCAAGTGTCCAAGGTCAACTACTGAGCCACACCTGCCCAGCGAAAGTAATTTTTCATTTCTCTCGTTGAGCTGGCTTTACTTGTTACCTAATGGAACAGCAAAGAAGTTTGGAGTATGACTACAGGCTTTGTATTTCAATCAATTACCATTGATTACCCAAAAAACAGGGCGCAACAACTTTTCCTTGGGAGGCGGGGCCTCCCTCCCCGGAAGCGCCGTCCGCCCCGCCCTCCTGCTTTGGTTTCCTGGTTGCTAGGCTACCGGCGCCCTAGCCGAAAGCGGTGGCGGGTGAGCGAGGTTAGCTCCTCTGCCCCGTGCACAGCTGGGCATCTGTACCTGCTCTGCCGTGGCCTCCCGCCTCGCCTAGGATTTTCAACCACCTTAGGCGCCGCGCCCTCCACTGAGCCTGGGACAGGCAGGAAGGAGCGCAGAGGCGGTTGCACCCTTCCCTCTGCGCTTCTCGGAAATCTCCCTTCCCCGCCACCACCACCCTTCGGGAAACTGCCCTTCACGCCTTACCCGGACCAGGAAGCCCTGAACCCCTGAATTTCGGGCCTCTGACTTTTCTTTTCCATCCACTCCGAGACAACTTTTCTCGTTGTTTTTTTCACATCTTGCGGCACCTTTCTGCTTGCGGAGCGGAAAGCATGAGGCCTGCAAGGGTAAGGGTGCCTCGGGAGGAGAAGGCTGGAAGACGTGTCGCCCTCCCTAGTTTCTTAGGTACGCCTTCGGGCCTCATTATGGAACAACCAGCCCGGTCCTTGTTTGAGCAGACACCGAGTTGGCAGGAAAGGAGCCGTGTGGCAGGGTTTCCTAAAATCGCGGGGGAGCTGCGGAAGCAAAGGGTGGGAATGATGGCTATCGGCAGGTGTTTCAGTTGCCCTGTTCTGGTTTTTTAGCTTCTCCTGTGTAATCAGCTGACCTTTTGGAAACCGAGCAAGGGTGGTGGCTGGATGCCTATGTGAATGACTGGTCTTCAGTATGCCATACAGAAGCAACATGTTCCCAGCATTGGAAGCAGAGCTAAAGCAGAAGGTCGGTACACACCCCTCTCCAGGAAACTCCACAGAAATCCAGTACTAGATCAGAATGTATCTGCTGGTGGCACCTTTTTCTAGCTGGAGATCTTGATCCCCAAGACAGAATGATTTGTGTAAATATCTCACTTGGTTTATTTACAGAAGTCAAGTATACTGCCCTCTGCAACAGTGCTTGCCTACCTTTTGTTAAGAGTTCAGTATTATTTGAAAGGACTTTCCTGATTGAGATGGCCTTTCCTTTTACAGACTCTTCCTGATCCCTATGAAGTCTTTATGTACCATCACCTCCAGTACTATGGCTACTTTAAAGGTAAGACCTTGTTCTTATCCAGCATCACTTTTCCTGGGTTCCTGAAGTAAATTGTCTCATTAACTGGGAGAGTTATACTAGGATAAACTAATGATGAATTTTTCCAGCACTATTAATGAAAAGTATTCCTTTCCCATTATCTGTTTGTCTACCCTTAAACTAATACCACTCTTTGTTAATTCTACCAAATGGCATTAAGACAGTATTTTTGGTTTTGCCTTTAAAAATTCAATATGGCCCTAACCGGTTTGGCTCAGTAGATAGAGCGTCGGCCTGCAGACTGAAAGGTCCCAGGTTCGACTCCGGTCAAGAGCATGTACCTAGGTTGCGTGCACATCCCCAGTGGGGGGTGTGCAGGAGGCAGCTGGTCGATGTTTCTCTCTCACCGATCTCTCTTGACTCTCTATCCCTCTCCCTTCCTCTCTGTAAAAAATCAATAAAATATATTTTATAAAATAAAATAAAAATTCAATATGCTGGATTGTGTCTTGGTTATTCTTGCCTTTTTATATAATTTTAGAATTGGCTTATGATGTTTAAAAAAATTGTTGGAATTACACTGAATCTATAAAATCTAATTTCACAAGAACTGAGAATTTCCCAGTATTGGGTTCTCCAATCTCTGAATATAGTCGAATTCTCCATTTATTTAGGTCTTCCTTAATTTCTCCCAATAAAGGTTTACTAGTATAGTTTTTTCATAGAAGTTCATATTTTTATGCTGTTGAAATGGTATCTTTTTAAATTTTGGTTTTCTAACTTTGTTCCTAGTATTGAGAAATACAATTAAGTTTTTATATTGATTTTATTTCTGTCAGCCTTGTTAAACTTTCCTATTAACTATTTCATTTTTTAAGTGATTACTAAGTTGTTGAAAACTGAATTTCCAGTTTGCCAGATTCAGCAGAGCCCTCAGGACAAAAGCAGTTCCACTCCCACTTGGAGTACCAGCCTTCACTTGGTGGGCTCTCTTGGCTGCTCTTATACTAGAGCCACCCGGTCTTTCTGCCTCCCAAGCCCTTTCTCTTTCCACTATATCATGCTGCCTCTCAAGTCTGCTCCTCACTGTAAAATGGAGAAAATGATGTTTAACTCAAATAAATCGGAATGTGAAGACTCTTTGGAAAATGAGATGTATTCGTTGTAAAGGCCTGTGGTAGTGGGGGTTGGTAGTAGCGGTTTGGGTATGCACCTAGATGTTAGAGGTGGTAACTAGCCTTCCAGCACCTTTCATTTAAACTGCTTTTTCATAGATGAAAGAGGCAGTGTACCAAACGCGGCTACGCACCAGCATGTTTGGAAGAATAAGCCCCGATTTGTCTTGAGTGACTCTTTTGGGGGAAGAGATGATTTGATACCAGACCACCTGGAAAAGGAGAACCTTCTATGTGAGTAATACTCCCTGTGTGTGATCCCCAGAACCCTCAGTGCCTTGAGCAGCTGCTCTAGGTATTCCGGAGAACATGGTCTACCGTAGGAGAAGCCAGAGGAGCGGCCTTGGCCACTGTTTCTGTCATCCCTCAGAAATGTTCTCTCTCAATCTACTTTGGATTGTAGGTTTAAATTGAAATACTATACATTATCTTCCTCCGAATTGTTGGAAAATTTGTTAAAACTTTTTGGTCAAGAGTAAAACATTGATTTTTCACACAGGTTTGATGGATGTATTTGTTAAGGCTCTTTGCAAAAGAGTGGTGGAAACCAATTCCAGCTTAAGCAAAAATAATTTTTTAAAGGTATTCCACAGATTTCTTCTAGAATCCAAGGGCAGGAATTCAATAGATTTCCCCCCTAAATACATATTCAACCAAACATCAATTTGCTTCTCTTTACTCCACATCCTCCCTGCCCCCAGCCCAAGTTACCATCATTTCTCACTATTGAATATATGCAGATATTCTTATACTTTCTAATTATTTGTAAGTGCTCAATAAATGCTAGCATGACCTTTGAATTTTTTCTCCAGGTTCTGGATTAGGGTTTTAAAAAAAAAAAGTATGTAAATATAAATCATACTAGATACTGCTAGACTGCTTTCCAGAATGGTTGCACCAATTGAGCTTCTTGGCAGCTGTGCCTGAGAATACCTGTTTGTTTACACCTTTGCCAGGATGAGTGTGCAAACCTATAAATGCTTTTCCCATTAGGTAAAAAAACTGACGTCTCCTTCTCATTTTGATTACATTTCTTTATGAATGAGCTTGAACAGCTTCACCATATTTTGAAATGTTTATTGCCCCACCCTCCAATTAAACAGTGAGGAAAAGATTTAGAGACAGAAATAGTGGGCTCCAAAGTGGGGATGGGAGGATGGAAAGGGGCAGAAAAAAGAAAGACAAACCGTGCCTCCTCCTTCCTCTTTTTAGGGCCTACCTGTCTATCCTCAGCTGTGCATCAACAGACAGACGCTGTGAGCAAAGGTATTTCATGTCCCTCCAGACCAGAAAACTCAAAACTCCTTTGTGGGAACATGTCTTCACCCCTTCTCTCGCCCCCAGAGCTGAGAATCACCACACTGAGGGGCCTTCGTTCCTTCCCCGTTATTTTCTGTCTTTTCATTCTTCCTCTCGTTTCCTTTTTCTTTCTCCCTGAAAACCTTTCTTTTCCTCCCTTTTTTCTCATTCTCTACTTGCCAAGAGCTCCTCTCTCTCTCCTGACCATTCACGCTACTCTCCCACTTCCCATATCATCCTCTGTTTTCGAAGTTGCTCTGTCCTTTGAATGGTTATATTTTGAACTTGAAATTTAACTTGCAGATTGTTTTTAATAGTTTTATGTACATTTTTCTAAAATGCTAATGGGTGAATTGAAAGTTCCCTCTCTTGCCTCACTCTAAACAAAAGTAATAGAACACATTAAATAACTTTTTATTCATTTGCAACCCACTGTTGAGATGTCTTAAATACATAGCTCTGATTTTTTTAAAACACAAAAATGTTTCTTCTAATTTACTCTTAAAACTTCACACTTAAATATTTAATAGGCTGTGTCAAATTTTAATTTGATTTTTATCATTTCTATGCCATCATCCTGGACTAAATCTCCTTGAAAGAGAAATATGTCATAGGATTGCACATCTGCCCCCTTTTTTTTTTTTTTTTTTTTTGGAGGGAGAGAGAGAGAATGGAAGGACGAGAGGAGGGGAAAAGAGAGAGAGATAAACATCAATGTGAGAGAAACACATGGATTGGTTGCTTTCTGCACATGCCCTGACCTGGGTCAGGGATCAAGCCTCCAACCAAGGTAGGTGCCCTTGACTGGGAATAGAATCTGCAATCCTTTGGTCCAAGGGCCAATGCTCTAACCACTTAGCACCCAGCTAGGGCTGTGCTCATATTTTAGTAGTGCTTAGAGTTACTTAGTGGTTCTAGTTGATCAGTGAAGTTCCCAAGGAAGAAAGAAGCCACTCACTCATTCCCTTGCCCTTTGGCAGATTCCTTTATGCTGAGTTCATCACTTCTCAGGAGCAGACTCCTTCTTCACGATGATTTTGGTGAAGTAAACCCATGTCTTCGGGAACCCCAAGATCTCTTTGCCTTTTACTCTTGCAGCGGGCAACTGCAGGTTCCCAGGTGGCCAATAGAATGCGAGGTCATCAAAGAAAGCATTCATCATATTGGTATGTGACTTATGTGTCATAGTCTTGCTGTTCTGACAGACTTTATTACAAAACCTCATAGTTTTAAATCCTATATGCTAAAGTACAAGGCAGGACAAATTCAACACCTCTCATCTCACCCCAAAATGATTATCTCACCCTGGGATACTGAAATACACTCGCCAAAGTCAAAAGTTACACTAATGTGTAAATTAGAATGTTTCAGAGTCCATTGGAATGAAGGATACCTTATTAGAGGCCAAAATATATTCTTACTTAAATCTGTTCTCTAGATTATTCCCATCTCAGTATTAATGTGCTTAGTTGAGTTTTATAAAAGTTGTATTTTTACTGGCCTTGTTATAGTTGATGCACCCCATATATGTCAGAACATAGTTTGTACTGTTTTTTTGTTTTGTTTTGTTTTTTTAAATATATTTTATTGATTTTTTACAGAGAGGAAGGGAGAGAGATAGAGAGCCAGAAACATCGATGAGAGAGAAACATCGACCAGCTGCCTCCTGCACATCCCCCACTGGGGATATGCCTGCAACCCAGGCACATGCCCTTGACCGGAATCGAACCCGGGACCCTTCAGTCCGCAGGCTGACGCTCTATCCACTGAGCCAAACCGGTTTCGGCAGTTTGTACTGTTTTTAATCATATTTTTAGTTTATTGGAGTTTTTATGGGAATGGTAGAGACTTTTTAAAAAATTTATTTATTTATTTATTTTTTTAATATATTTTATTGATTTTTCACAGAGAGGAAGGGAGAGAGATAGAGAGTTAGAAACATCGATGAGAGAGAAACATCGATCAGCCGCCTCCTGCACATCTCCTACTGGGGATGTGCCCGCAACCCAGGCACATGCCCTTGACCGGAATCGAACCTGGGACCCTTCAGTCCGCAGGCCGACGCTCTATCCACTGAGCCAAACCAGTCTCGGCTAAAAAATTTATTTTAAAGAAAGGAAGGGAGAGGGGGAGAGAGAGAGAGAAGCATCCATCGGTTGCCTCCTGCTCACCCCCTACTGGGGATCAAGCCCAAAATCCAGGCATGTGCCTTGACCATGAATGAAACCTGTGACCTCTTGGTGCATGGGTCGACACACAACCACTGAACCACACCGGCTGGGCAGTTAGAGACATTTTTTTATGGCATTGCTGGTCATATCTTTGAGCTATTGGTGCAAATATAATCTTCAGCACTCATTTTATGAAGCATTTTCAGAAGTGGATTGCATTGAAAAGTGGGGACTTTGCTAATTGGTAGGATACATATATCTCTACCAGACATAATGCCTCTGCTTTAGACTGCTGGATAAACAACTGGATGTTTCTTATTTTCTCCCTTTCCTCATTTATTATTCACTCAATAAATATTGATGAAGCATTTACCATATGCTAAGTACAATGTTTAGTGTTAGATATACAGTTATGAACAAGACAGAGATACCCAGAGCTCACAGACTAGTGGGAAAGTTAAAGATACAACCAGGCAATTGCATAGAGTTTGATCCCTTGGGAACACTTAATCTCAGCTTGGAAGATCAGTAAGGGTTTCCAAAATGAGTTGAAATGTCAGCTGGGATCTGAAGGAGAAGTTAGAAGTAATCCAATTGAGAGAGTCAAAGAAAAGTATTCCAATTAGAGGGAACAGAAAAAGAGAATGTCATGTTTGGGCAACCATGAAACATTGAGCCTGAAAGATGAGCTGAAGCTGAAATATAGGGATGGGCTTAGTGTCGTGGTTGGGATAGAACTGCTCTTTCGGTGTTTGGAAATGTGTGTGGCAGGGGGGAGGGAGGGGGCGCATTTTGAGTTTGCACAGTAGCTGAGAAGTCCTAAGGTCATCTGCCCCTATTCTGTACAATCTATAATAATAAAAGCATAATATGCTAATTAGACTGGACGTCCTTCCAGACGACCTTCTGGACAAAGCCGGGGCTACGAGGAAAGCCCAGGTCCTGGATGTAGGAGGGAAGCCGGGGCCAGCAGCCAGTGGAAGGAAGGCCTATCTTGCAGGAATTTCGTGCATCAGGCCTCTAGTTCTTAGATAAAAGCCCAAGTTGATCAAGCCAGACAATAGGATTTTGTAGTTCTCTATATAAAATAGAATAAGATAGACAATTCCTGTGAAGATTTTGGACTCAATTCCAAAAGGAAAATTAAAAAGTGTAAAACATAATCCACTAAAAAACCATTAAATCTTTTTTTAAAGCAATTTTTTTTTTAATTTCAAAGAACTCTAATAGCAAGTACCTGCTGTTTAAACTGAGTTGTCAGAGTCTCATTACTCCCCATTACCTTAAAGAAAATAAAGGAACATTGTCTTTTACTGAGTTGTGTCTTTATATGCCCTTGGTTTTCATCACTTAAAATGATATGGAGAAGTTCCCCAAGTTTCATACGAAGAATCTTTTAGAATTGAATGTTGATGAAAAAGCCTTGTTTTCTCTGAAACAAGTGATATACTTATTCCTCTATGGTAATAAAAAGTATGTAGTGGATCATATTTTCCTGATTTTAAAAGGAAGCTCAGGACCAAATTTTAAAGAGTTAGTACAGCAATTAAATTGACTTTTCCAGCTTACTTCTAAATCTTCTATTTAAAGTTTATGTGTTTTTGTTAAAAGCCTCCTCATAGTCTTATGGAAAGAAGCAAGACAACTTATAAACAAATTAGAAACTTAGGTTCTGACAAAGTGATTCTGTATTATTTCTTATTTTGTACTTTTTAAATGTCTTCTTTCAGAGGGAGTTCCACCTCAACCAGAATATTTTTATCAACCTACAGGAAATGAAAAGGTACCAGAAATTGTAGGAGAGGAAAAAGGCACAATTGTCTATCAATTAGATTCAGGTATTGTCATTACGCTGAGCAGTGAGTAATTAATTAATCGTGATAAGGTTATAAATATTTTCTATAATAAATGTGATTTTAGAAAATCCATAGTTCAGTGATAAATTGTCTTTTCCAAACCAATCTGAATGGGAACCCAGATATTCATGAATAATCAGCTTTAAAATTTCAATCATTTTTTTAAAATAACAGTACCTTTTTCTTAATAAATCTAAGTCCATTTTATAGCTTCTCCCTTGTAATTCCTCTTCCTGAAATTCAGAGGTTGGATCTTTGGGAAACGCATTCTTCTTTTCGCCACCTCCTATATGTACTTGGGTGAGTACTTTATAGTATGTGCATATGACTGTCATTTACCATGTGGCTTCCTGCATTAAGTTGCAGATTTCCTAGAGATAGAATGCATGTCTTTTATAAAAATGTGCAGAACACTGTACCCAATAACAGCCACAAAATACACATTTGTTTCAAGGGCCCTTGGTAGATTCTCCAGTATACACCATATGCTAGGTTGTAAAGCAGGTCTTAATACCTTTTATGTAAAAGGATTGAAATGATACCAAATATATCCTCTTATCACAACAAAATTAAATTAGAAATCAACAACAGAATGACATTTGGGAAATCTATAGATATTTGGAAATTGAGCATCTACCATATACTAAGTACAGTGCTTAGTGTTAGAGATACAGTGATGAACAAGACAGAAACACCCATTTCTAAGTAACCCATGTGTTAAAGATATCACAAGGCGAGTTTAAAAATATTTTGGAGCCGAAACCGGTTTGGCTCAGTGGATAGAGTGTCGGCCTGGGGACTGAAGGGTCCCGGGTTCGATTCCGGTCAAGGGCATGTACCTGGGTTGCGGGCACATCCCCGGTGGGAGGTGTGCAGGAGGCAGCTGATTGATGATTCTCTCTCATCGATGTTTCTAACTCTCTATCTCTCTCCCTTCCTCTCTGTAAAAAATCAATAAAATATATTTAAAAATATATATATTTTGGAATGAAAACAAAACAACATATCAAAATGTATGGGATGCAGCTAAAGCACTGCAAGGTAAATTTATGGTTTTAAATACATATATTTGAAAGGAAGAGGAGGAGCCCAAAAGGGATTGTGGGAGAAAGTCTTTTCCTTCCCAGCTGCCCACAGCCGTCAGGTAAACCAAGATGGGCGCTTACAAGTACATCCAGGAGCTATGGAGGAAGAAGCAGGCCAGCGTAATGTGCTTTCTTTTCAGGCTGTGCTGCTGGCAGTACGCCAGCTCTCTGCGCTCCACTGGGACCCCTGCCTACCAAGCCCAATAAAGCACAGCAGACTGGAATACAAGGTTATGTCATATATTGGACTCGTGTGTGCTGTGGTGGCCACAAACACCCTGTTCCTAAGGATGAAACCAGTGGCAAGCCTATCCATCATGGTGCTAACCAGCTAGTTTGCTGGAAGCCTCAGTATGTTGCTCTGGAGCTAGCTGGGCACCACTCTGGGGCTCTGAGAGTCCTGAATTCTCACTGGGTTGGTGAAGATTCCACACACAAATTCTTGGAGGTTATCCTCACTGCTCCATTCCATAGGCTATCAGAAGAAATCCTGACACCTAGTAGATCACCAAACCAGTCTGCAAGCCCAGGGAGATGTGAGGGCTGACATCTGCAGGCACAAGAGCTGTGGCCTTAGAAAGGGCCACAAGTCCCACCACACTATTAGTGGTTCTCGCAGTGCAGCTTGGAGAAGGCACACTACTCTCCAGTTCCACCGTTACTGCTAATATAAGTAATGTTTGTAAAATCCTTACCTAAGAAACAATTTAGGACAGTTAAAATAAAGGGGGGGGGGAGGAAAAATAAATTAATTAAATAAGGGAGGAAGATCTGAAATTAATTACCCAAGCTTTCACCTTAATAAATTTTAAAAATAAGAGCAAAATAAATCCAGTGCAAGCTGAAGAAAGGAACTGATAAAGATGCTAATGAAATAGGTGAAATAGAAATCAGAAAAATCAAGTTGGTTTTTTGGAAAAATCAACAAAATTGACAAAATAGCTCAACCAAGAAAAAGGGAGAGGAGATACAAATGATCAAAATCAGCAATGGAAGGAAACATAAGCATCAACTCTACAGAAATCAACGGAATTACAAGACAATGCTGTAACAACTTTACGCCAACAAATAGACAACATAGATGAACAGGAACAATTGCTAGAAAGACACAAATCACCAAAACTGACTCGGGAATAAATTAGAAGTCTGAATAGATTATAACAAAAAAATCGAATTAGTAATTTAAAATCTTCCTGTAAAGAAATCCCTGGCCCAGATGGCTTGCCAGGGTTTGTTTGCACTGTATCAAACGTTTAAAGATGAAATAGTACTAATTCCTTATAAACTCTGAAAACAGAGGAGAAGGAAGCATTTGCCAACTCTCTTTGGTGAAGCCAATATCATCCTCATAATAAAGCCAGACAAAGACATCACAAGAAAACTATAGATCAGTAGTCCTTATGAATATAAATGCAAAATTTTTCAACAAAATACCAGCAAACCAAATCCCACAGCATATTAAAAGGATTACACACCATGACCGAAGGGGATCTGCCCCAGGAGGCCTGGGGTGGTTCACTATCTACACTGATAAAAGAGAAAGATGCAAATTGACCGTACCTTCATGATGCCCACCAGCCCATCAGGAGTGAGCATGCAAATTAACCCAACAAAGAGGGCAGGTTAATTTGCAGGTGCCAAGCGGCGGGGGTGGGGTGGGGCAGGGCGTTCCACACCGCCCCAGCCACCCTGGGCCTCTGGGCAGCTCTGGGCCAGAGCGAAGGCAGTGCCAGCAGCCAGGGGAAAGAAAGCCCATCCTTGCATGAATCTTCGTGCATTGGGCCTCTAGTAAGAAAATAAGCAGAACCACATTAGTAGAACAGAGTGGGAGGAAACAGCCATGTCAAGGCAGAAAAGGCATTGGATAAAATTCAGCCTTTCGTGATAAGAACATTCAGAAAACCAGGAATAGAAGAGAATTCTCTTAACCAACTCGATAAATGGTATTTATGGAAACAGTGGATCAACTTCACACCCACCAAAATAGCTATAATAAAAATATAGACAATAACCAGTGCTGGGGAGGATGTGAAGCAGGTGGTAATACTAACACTTAAGACAGAAAGGAAAGGTAATGTTAAAGAGCAATGAGCCAAGAAATACAATATGAACCTTCCCGAGGAAAGGGAAGTAAATTTTGAATTAATAATGTCAGGATCCTAGGTTAGTAATAGGGAGGGACATGGAAGGGAGCTGCCAGCAAGGACATCCTCGTCATCACCAAAAATCACCTGGTGCTCGTTGAACCCACAGGTACCAGAGCTCATTGGAACTTCTTAAAAGGAATCCTCTGAAGTTGGAAAATACTGTATTCAAGAAATAGAAAGCAAAAAAAATCCTCCTAATTTGAAAAATCAATCTCTGTTAAGTAATAATTATCAGAAAGGAAACCTGTTTTATTGGAAGAGGAATCTGCACAAAGTTTAGTTAGTAGAAAGAGAATGTGTTAACCCTTTGCGCTCCAATTTTATTTTTGGAATTCAAACAGTCTGGTTCGAATTGGAAGTCCTTCCTCTCTTGGTTGCAATAGTTCCCTGGCGGAAGTTGCCAATTAGCTCAATCACCAACTCGACGTTGGACCTGCTACTAGTGGCTGGTCTGTTGAGTCAGCCTCAACGTTGGAGCGCAAAAGGTTAAAGAAGTGACATAAGGGAAACCTTTCGGAGAAACAACCAGAAATAGAAGGGACAGCCATGTGCTTACATTCCTCAAGTGGAAGAATAAAATGAGCCAGTTATTCCTGAGGGCCCCGCTGAGATGTAATTGCACATACTCCACCACAGTTTCCTTGATTATGAACTCTCATGTTAATAATAATATGTTGGGAAAAGCTATAAGCAATCCTATATAATAAAAGCCTAATATGCTAAGTGGCCGGTTGGCCAGTCGATCGTTCAACCAATCAAAGCATAATATGATAATGATATGCTAAGTATGCTCAACCGCTTGCTATGATGTGCACTGACCACCAGGGGGAAGATTCTCTGACCAGTAGGTTAGCTTGCTGCTGAGATCTGGCCAATCAGGACTGAGCGAGATGGGCCAGACACGCCCTGGAGCCCTCCCGCAGTCCCTCCCCAGCTGGCCAACCTCCTGTGTCCCTCCCCAGCCCCTCATGCACCGGTGGGGTCCCTTGGCCTGGCCTGCACCCTCTCACAATCCGGGATACCTCGGGGGATGTTGGAGAGCTGGTTTCAGCCCAATCCTGCTCAACGCACATGGTCAGTGTGCTCCCACAGGGGGAGCGCCGCTCAGCCAGAAACCAGGCTCACAACTGGCAAGCGCAGTGGCAGTAATGGGAGCTTCTCCCGCCTCCATGGCAGCACTAAGGATGTCCAACTGCCGGCTTAGGCCTGCTCCCCACTCCGTCAGTCAGACATCCCCCGAGGGCTCCCAGACTGCGAGAGGGTGCAGGTTGGGCTGAGGACTCCACTCCCCCCCCCCCCGCCCCCGGTGCATGAATTTCATACACCAGGCCTCTAGTGAAGTAAATAAGGTGGAGCAACTCTGTCCACCTAGCTCCACCTTGTGGAATGTCTGAGGAGGCGTTTGGAAGGCATTTAAAAGGTATGAGGTATAAGTGGGTAGACTTAGGTTTTAAATAATAGGTTATGTGTTGCTTCTACAACCTCGGGATTATAAACCTGTTTTACAGGTTTGGAGTCGCTTCATCTGTTCTAGCCAGAGATATTTTTTGTATCTTACCCAAGAAGGAACCCTGGGGTGGAAGTGCTTTCTCCTGATATGGCAGCCCTTGCAGAATGTCCTTGTTCTGTTAACACACAGTTGTGGCCACTGCCTTAATCTTGTCCTTGGGATTCATGGAGAGTTGAACCCACCTAATTGGAGGAATAAAGAAGCAGAAAACTGAGAAGATGGGGCTCCAGAGGGAATTTGGGAGTTTGTCATTTTAGGGGCCCCACAGCAACTACATGCTGTGGGAATATTGGAGGAAAAAAGGAAATTGGTTTTGGGTGTGTTTTTTTTTGTTTTTTGTTTTTTTTTTAAATATATTTCATTGATTTTTTACAGAGAGGAAGGGAGAGAGATAGAGAGTTAGAAACATCGATGAGAGAGAAACATCGATCAGCTGCCTCCTGCACATCTCCCACTGGGGATATGCCCGCAACCCAGGTACATGCCCTTGACCGGAATCGAACCCGGGACCTTTCAGTCCGCAGGCCGACGCTCTATCCACTGAGCCAAACCGGTTTCGGCGGTTTTGGGTTTTTTTGAGAAATGTTACTGTGAGTTATGAATTGGATCTTTAATGTTACCTAAGAGACTCAAGAAAATATTGGAATTTCTATATTAAAGACATCTGGTCACTGGGCTGTACTCTGGTTTCATGAGGAGACTGAACCATGTGGGGCCCCAGCTTTTACTTAGACAACATGGACTCTTGGCCTCTGCCTTTGTTCCTTCCTCTGTGCTTGTTTTCTTCTTTCACCCACTTCTTTTCAAGCTTGAGTCCTCCTTCACTCTCACTTATTTGATTATATAGTTTATTTATTATATGTTTATTATAAAGTCTTTCTAGTGACATGGTTGCATAGGAGAAAAAGTCTTCATAGCATTACTGTATTTACTAATGAACTGGCCACTTATATAATCGTGCCCCACACATATTACTATTTGTTTAATGTTCCATGGTCAGCATCTTTGATGGTGTCAGTCACTTGCTGATTGATGGATATTATTAACATCTGGTAATATAATGCAAATAAATAAAAATCCATTGCAAAGTGAAATTACGATTTTTAACAAGAGATGCAGGATTTTATGAAATAGAAGTTGATGAATGTTACAGAATTGCTTGAATCATTTGCAAAACCACTGACAAATGAGAACCTAGAAAATTTTTTATCAGTTGGCAAAGACAAAATCAACAAAAGATGACAAAAATAGGTTCTTCTAGACACAAAGATGAGAACATTGTGGTACAAAGAGAAGTCCTTAGGGAGCTATGAAGTCCTAAGAAAGTTTTGCAAAAGTAACTGCCCAAACCAAAGATGTCATATGGCACCCTTACTGAATTTGTCTGAAAAATTATAACCCCACAAAAAAATAATAGTAATTGATTCTTTATTATCCCAAGTATTAGAAAGAGGTTGTGATTATAATCTAAATTTTGTTAAATAAGATAAATTTCATACATTTTTAAAATTTCATTTTAAAGTTAAAATTTCAATTGTGACCTTCCTTTTCACTGATAACTACATTTTGGTTCCTTTCCCAGGGGCATTCACCCATACCAATTCTTCTCAAACTGCTATTTTTGTTATATTTAAATCTGGAAGCATATAGCAAAACATTTTATGGCGTCTACTATGTTTTCTCTTTTTTGTTTTTCCCCTTATCTTTTTCTTAAATCAATAAATAGGTGCTATTTGTTGTGTGTTTATAAATAAGGTTTCAAATGTTCTCAGATGCTTGATTTAGAATTTTACCTTTTGCCAACATCCTTTTAAATTAGTATTCAAATGGGCACAAGCAGTACTATCTGCGCTGACAAGGGTTGCCTGTAGCAAAAGGAAGTGCTCTAAGAGTCCTTCAGAGAAATATACTTTAGAATGAAAAGTCTCAGCAAGAACAACTGAAAATTAGAATATTCATTGTTGTTAACCTAGGGCAGTGCTGCTGAAGACAGAGGGGCGCAAAGAATATGCTGGATGAATGGGTTCTGACAGGAATGTGGCTAAATATGTCTGTCTCACCTGCAGTGCCCACCAAAGGCTCCTATTTCACCAGCTCCAGAGTGGGAGGCAAGCGGGGAGTGATCAAGGAGCTCGCTGTCACACTGCAAGGACCAGAAGATAACACTCTCCTGTTTGAATCAAGGTTTGAGAGTGGGAATCTGCAAAAAGCTGTCAAAGTGTGAGTAACAAAGTGGGTTTACCCAAAGGGATGGTGATTAAAGTGACTGAGAAGTGTCTTCAGGAATCATAGTCGGAGTCAGGAGTGTTTCTGCAAAAGAGGTGAAGGGAAATGATTTTTCCCCCAGAATAAAAATTTATCTAAATTGTTTTTTTCTGTTTATAAAAGAAATTAGTGCTCATATAAAATTCATATTGACAAAATTTTGAATCCTATAATCATGACTCCCAGACACAAGCAATTGATAACATTTTGATGTCTATGCATTAATTGTTTCTCTCTCTGTGTAATACACACAAATTATATATTTTTAAAAATAGGGTAATGGTGTATATATTTGGACACTGTTTTTGCAAATTGGCTTTTTTCTACTTTGTACATTTTATTTTATTTATTTTTTGTTAATCCTCACCTGAGGATATTTTTCCACTGATTTTTAGAGGGAGTGGAAGGGAGGGGGAGAGACAGAGAAACATCGATGTGAGAGAGACACATCAATTGGTTGCCTCCCGCACGTACCTGCAACCAAGGTACGGGGCCCTTGACCAGAATCAAACCCTGACCCCTATGTTCTGTCCATTGAGCCAAAACAGGTAGGGCTCCACTTAATACATTTTAGATGTTTTTCTATGACAATACCACAGACATATGTCCTTATTTTCAACAGTTCATATTGTTCTATTATATGAGTGTTCCATACCTATTTACCCTATTCCCACCTGATGAGAAATTAAGACATTTACAATTTTTTATTAAATGAATGAGCAGAATTCACACCCTTGTGCATGTATACTTTTTAGTATTTGTGGTGTTATGGAACAGATTCTGATATAAAATTGGCGGGTCAAAGGGTTTGAACACTAAGCATTGCTAGTTTTTGCCCCATTGCTCTCCAGCATGATTCCAGGTCCCATCAACTGTGGGTGAGAGGGCCTGTTGCCCAGTGTGGAAATGTTGCTGAGATGGAGGAGAAAGGACGGCATCCTGTTTTAATCTGTATTTCTTTCATGATGCATGCGGGTGAACATCTTTTCATGTTTTTGGCATTTGTATTTCCTCTTCTGCAGGTTAGGCCTTCTTTTCCACAAGGTGCATGCATCCCGGCAAAGCCCCCTTATCGTCAAACAATTGATGATAAGAGATAAAAATAGCACAGGAAGCTTACGGGTCTGATCCATCCTGGTGATGCCCAGGATGTAGGTACAGCCAACAGAGGTTCCGGCTTCCCTGAGTTCAGTGTGTTTCGGGGAAATGGGTTGAAGTGGTTGGAAACCACCTTCTGGGTTCTAGAAAGGCACCAAGAAGCTCAGCGCGCCCAAACATCTGGTGCTGCATGTGAATTATGAAACTCTTCTGTCCCACCCCAAATGCACGTTCTTCCCCCACGTCCCTGTTAGCCTAACATGAGTTGGAGAACTAAGTAAATTAGAAAACAAATGTTTGATGTAGCAGCCTTTCTGTTGTGATTTGATCTATTTTTACCAGGGAAAAACAATGTTTTCCCACATTTATTTTTTGAGGGAGGTATTACAGAGATATTCTATATTCTTCATTACAGAGACACCTATGAGTATGAACTCACCTTACGAACTGACCTCTACACAAACAAACACACTCAGTGGTTTTATTTTCGAGTTCAGAACACCAGAAAAGATGCCACCTATCGCTTCACCATCGTCAACTTGCTAAAACCCAAGAGCCTTTATACTATAGGAATGAAGCCGCTCATGTACTCCCAATTGGATGCCAACACCTACAACATTGGCTGGAGGAGAGAAGGAAATGAAATCAAGTACTACAAGAACAACACGGATAATGGGCAGCAGTCCTTTTACTGTCTCACGTGGACCATTCAGTTTCCTCATGACCAAGACACTTGCTTCTTTGCACACTTCTACCCATATACATACACGGATTTGCAATGCTACCTCATGTCGGTGTCAAAAAACCCTGTCCAGTCTCAGTTCTGCAAACTCCGCACTTTATGCAGGAGCCTTGCAGGAAATACCGTGTACCTGCTCACCATCACCAACCCATCCCGAACCACGCAAGAGGCTGCTGCAAAGAAAGCCGTGGTCTTGAGTGCCAGGGTCCACCCTGGGGAAAGTAATGGCTCCTGGATCATGAAAGGCTTTTTGGACTTCATTCTTAGCAACTCCCCAGATGCCGAGCTCCTCAGAGATATCTTTGTCTTCAAAGTGATTCCCATGTTAAATCCAGATGGAGTGATTGTGGGGAATTACCGGTGTTCGTTGGCTGGCAGGGACTTGAACAGGCATTATAAGACCATTCTGAAGGAGTCTTTCCCCTGCATCTGGCACACCAGGAACATGATCAAGAGGTGAGTCCCCTAATCTGTTGAGCTTTCTCTGGTTACTGTGAGCACTATCTAATGGCAGGGACTGGGGGGAGAGGGAAGATCTCTTCTAATGTTGTAAGAATTGGAAATGTCTTTTGAGACAGTCTTTTTTTAAAATACATTTTTATTGATTTCAGAGAGGAAGGAAGAGGAAGAGATAGAAAATATAAATGGTGAGAGCAGACTGGCGTGGCTCAGTGGTTGAACGTTGACCTATGAACCAGGAGGTCATGGTTCAATTCCCAGTCAGGGCACATGCCTAGGTTGCAGGCTTGATCCCCAGTGTGGGGCATGCAGGAGGCAGCCGATCAATGATTCTCTCTCATCATTGATGTTTCTATCTCTCTCTCCCTCTCCCTTCCTCTCTGAAATCAATAAAAATCTATTTTAAAAAAAATATAAATGGTGAGCTAACATGTTATCTATTTAGCATAGTCCCTAGCCACTGTTAATGTGTGGCATTGTTATCATACTCTTCATCCTGTGACCATCAGGGGGATGGTGACCTCATTTGGAAGATTGAATAGGTGTCCTGGGTGATCAGGAGATCAGGCAGATCTGAGCCTTATAGGAACGAGCCCTGGAAATGAGGACCCAAGGCTTTCTTTGGTTCTGTCTTTTTCATCCCTGCGATTACAGCCTCTCTTCCTCTCCCCTCTTCCCACGAGTCTGCACCAGGGTGGGCTTTCTTTCAACAGATTTCCTCCACTTGTCCATTTACACAAGGCCTACCCACCACCCCTTTCCACGTCAGCACATCCCAAGTCCTTCTGTCAGGCAGGGGCAAGGAGGACTGAGGCCGAGTTTACAGCAGTGGCTGAGGGTAGAGATAGGGTCCTCAGAAGGCCATTAGGGGTCAACACTTTCTTAGAAAGGAAGGTGTCAACAGACATACTTAGGAAGAGACTCCAAAAAAATCCATGCATTTGGAGTCCACTGAGTCCTTTGTTTGCTCCCCTTAATAGACTTCTCGAAGAAAGGGAAGTTCTCTTGTATTGTGATTTCCATGGCCACAGCCGCAAGAATAACATCTTCCTATATGGCTGTAATAGCCATGATCGCAAGTACTGGCTTCATGAACGAGTCTTTCCTTTCATGTTGAGCAAAAATGTACCAGACAAGGTAAGCACATAAGGTAATTTCTGCTCATTGACTAAGGAAGAAGGAAACTCTCTGCTTCCTATACCCAATAATAGTGTTTGATTTGCCATTTTGTTTCTCTTTTTTTTTTTAATATATTTTATTGATTTTTTACAGAGAGGAAGGGAGAGAGAGAGCCAGAAACATCCAATGAGAGAGAAACACCGATCAGCTGCCTCCTGCACATCTCCCACTGGGGATGTGCCCGCAACCAAGGTACATGCCCTTGACCGGAATCGAACCTGGGACCCTTCAGTCCGCAGGCCGACGCTCTATCCACTGAGCCAAACCGGTTTCGGCTTGTCTCTCTTTTTTATCTTGGGTAAATCCCAGCAACCTGGACTTGAAGAATTTAGAAAGGTGTGGTTTTAAGAATTATTCTGTGTCCACTAACTGATGAGCAGATAAATAAAATTCAGTATGTCGAGGGAATGGAATGTTGTTCTGCAATAAAAATAATTAACTGCTGCCCTAACTGGTATGACTCAGTGGCTAGAGCGTTGGCCTGTGGACTGAAGGGTCCCAGGTTCAATTCCGGTCAAGGGCATGTACCTTGGTTGCGGGCACATCCCCAGTAGGGGGTGTGCAGGAGGCAGCTGGTCAATACTTCTCTCTCATCGATGTTTCTAACTCTCTATGTAAAAAAATCAATAATATATATATATTTTTAAAAATAATTAATTGCTGATATGCTAGGACTCAGTGATGGCGAACCTATGACATGCGTGCCAGAGGTGACACGCGAACTCATTTTTTTGGTTGATTTTTCTTTGTTAAATGGCATTTAAATATATAAAATAAATATCAAAAATAAAAATCTTTGTTTTACAATGGTGGCAAATATCAAAAAGTTTCTATATGTGACACGGCACCAGAGTTAAGTTAGGGCTTTTCAAAATGCTGACACACCGAGCTCAAAAGGTTCGCCATCACTGTGCAGCTAGGTCATGGAGGAACCTTGAAATCATGATGCTAAGTGAAAGAAAAGATGCAAAACATCACATATTGCATGATTCTATTCTATGCAATGCTATAGAGACAGAACTTACTAGTAGTTTAGTGATTGCCTCAACTGGGGACAAGTGACATGGGGAGTGACTTCTAATGGGTACTGGGTTTTGGGAAGGTATTAAAAATATTCTAAACTTATATTACAACTCTGTGAATATACTTAAACCTTTGACTTGTGTACTTTTAATGTGTGGATCTTAAGGTATGTGAATTATATCTCAATAAAGGTGATTTTTAAAAATTGCTCTAGCCTGCGGACTGAAAGGTCCCAGGTTCGATTCCAGTCAAGGGCATGTACCTTGGTTGCGGGCACATCCCCAGTAGGGGGTGTGCAGGAGGCAGCTGAACGATGTTTCTAACTCTCTATCCCTCTCCCTTCCTCTCTGTAAAAAATCAATAAAATATATTTTTTTAAAAAATTGCTCTGGCTGCTTTGCCTGGGCACAAGTTCAAACTCTTAGTGGTAGAGTTATCTATCAGTAATCCTGTGATTTGCAGTGGAAGCAGGGATTGCAGGACAGACAAAATGCTAATGTTACACGAGCCTCCAAAGAAAAGTTTGAGTAATGCAAGATCACAAATAACAAAGATATTAAAGGGCTAATGAAAGCAACAAGTGTTTTTTTTGTTTGTTTTTTTTAAAGCAACAAGTTTTTGATAGTTGGCTGAGTGTGACAGTCGGGCATATACAGAGTATCTGCATTGATTTAGAAAGTTGGTTTTCAGCATCATAAATACATCCACAAAATGTAACTGTCCTTATAATGAAGAAACTGGGTTGGATTCAGGAAAACATTTAAATTACAAATTTTCTCACATAAAGATATTTAAGACATATTTTGTATCTGCTGCTCTTATTATTAAAAAAAAAAAAAGAGGAAGCTTTTCTTCCTCTCGCTTTCCCTTCCTTCATTCCTTTCTTCCTTTCTTCTTTTTTTGTTTATATTTTTGTTGTTGTTGTTAATCCTCACCCGAGGATATGTTTTCCATTGATTTTTAGAGAAAGTGGAAGGGAGAGGGAGAGGGAGAGAAAGAGAAACATCAATATGAGAGAGATACATCGATTGATTGATGGGTTGCCTCCCGCACACACCCCAACTAGGACTTGGGATTGAGTCTGTAACCGAGGCACATGCCCTTGACCAAAATTGAACCCAGGACCCTTCGATCTGCAGACCGGTGTTCTAACCACTGAGCAAACAGGCTAGGGTCATTCTTTTTTCTTTTTTAAACATTTTGATTTTTGCCAGGCATCTCTTCAAGTGAAATCACATCCAGAACCCAGTATCTAAAACAATTAAAAGCAGAACTATGTTATTGAAGAGGGGTTGAAGGCTTGGAACACCTGTCCATTCGGCCTCCTCCCTCAGGCCTTAGACAGGAATGCCCTGTGGCTCCTCATTAGAACCCCTGGATTCTATAGAGCACAAGTTAGAAACCACAAGGTAGTGAGATATCTCCCAAATGTAAAGCGTTTTCAGCAGGACAGGCTAGGATAGGTTGGGATAGGTGCCAAGTATATGTTACAAACTTCAAGAGAGGAAAGAGCATTGGCATGGTCATGAAAGACAATGGAAGAAACTGAACTTCGACCTGAGAACATTGGCATAAGGGAGTGAGAGCGTTCCAGGCAGAGACTGTAGTGTAGGGCTGAGGCATACACAAATCACATAGAGAGGATCAACCCAACCATATTGAAGGGTTCAAATTGGAGAGGGGTAGAAAATAAATCTTAGAAAGGTTGGCTACTAGCCTTGAATGCCAAAGAAAGCCAGCATTCCCAGACAGACATTCAAGGAACCCGAGTCCTGCAGAATGCCCCTGGAGAAGATGGGGAGGAGAAGGAAGGGTTCATGGGCAATGAAAAGCAACATGCTCTCTCGCCTTTGGAGGATCACAGTCCACAATAGCATATTAAATAGCCTGAGAGGTGCTGCAGCGGAAGCCTGCGCCATTTTCTTAGCCCTTTATCTCCCTGGTGAACATGACCATAGAACTCATGTTTTCCGCCCTAATACCTATTAGCATCCCTAGGAACCAGTATTGTAGGGGACACACTTTAGGAAGTAATATATAGATTCCCAAGAGAAACATTCTTGTAGCATATCAATGAATCTTCTATATCTTACATTTGCCAGTCTATGATTAACAGAGGATTTGGATTTCTCTTCAGTTCTCTTTTCATAGTTGTAATTTTAAGGTCCAAAAGTGCAAAGAAGGAACAGGACGAGTTGTGATGTGGCGGATGGGAATCCTGAACAGCTACACCATGGAGTCTACCTTTGGCGGGTCCACCCTGGGTGAGCTCACTTCTGTAGACCGTGGGACAGCATGGCCAGGGGAGCCACGTAAAGCACTGGGGAGATGAAATCCTTAAACATGTTAAGAGGAGGGTTGATCTAGAGGCTTTTCTTGTCTGCGCCTTATGCCAAATTTGAGCACCCAGAATATGAGTGTGAAATATAGTATTTGATGGGGCAATATAGTGTAGTGGCTAAGGGCCTGGAATCAGGCAGATCTGGGTTTGAATTTCAGCTCCATTTATGAGTTGTGTGATCCTGAGGAAGTTACCTAATTCTTTGAACCTCATCTTCTCTGTGAATGTCAGTAGTAGTGCCTGCATTATGGGTACTACTTAATGAGCTAGTGCATGGAAAGCACTTGGCAGAGTGCCTGCTACCGAGTAAAACGTTATCATTGTAATTACAGCTTCACAATTACAGCCATCGTGATTGTAAACATTTTCATTGTCAAAGATTCTTCTGAACCAACCTAAAGCTAGGAGAGAAACCCTGTCCAGAAGCACAATGTTCTAGAATAAGAGGTGGTCTCTTTAATGAGATATTCGTAAATTATATCTGCATTTATTTACTCATTAAGATTTCATGAGAAATGTTTATGGGGTTTTTCCAGGCAATAAAAGAGACACTCATTTTACCACTGAGGATCTGAAGTCCCTAGGCTACCACGTCTGTGACACCCTCCTGGATTTCTGTGATCCTGACCGAACCAAGGTAAAAATGGGGCTTCAAGAAGTGTGGTGATGCCGTACTGTGATCAGTTTCCCATGGGTCCACAGTCAGCTCAGTGCGATTTCAGGTGATTTTTATTTCCTCTTAGTATTTTTCTGAAGCTTTTATGATCAAAGAAAATAAGAAAGGCCCAGCCTACACACTCTCGGCAAATGGTAAGACCTCAATTCACCAAGATGATAGAAGCCATTGTTCCGGCTTCCCTTCAGCACTCCTCTCCCTCACGTCCAGGCTTACCCATGAGAGCACTCATTCTTGATTTCCTTTCTCCCATTTCAGAAAACCTGCTGTCCTTTCTCTTCTCCAAAACTAACCCTGCCCTTTGTGCACCTGCTAAGCATCCCTACCACCTCCTCTCTCAGACCCCATCTGACTTGTCGGCGCTGGGAACACCTGATATGCACCACTCTGGATGCAACTGTTTTGTTTTTTTTTAATAAGTTTTTATTGCTTTCAGAGAGAGGAAGGAAGAGGGAGAGACAGAAACATCAATGATGAGAGAGAATCATCGATCAGCTGCCTCCTGCATGCCCCCCACTAGGAATCGAGCTTATAACTCAGACATGTGCCCTGATTGGGCATTGAACCTCCTAGTTCATAGGTCAATGCTCAAGCACTGAGCCACACTGGCCGGGCTGGATGCAACTGTTTAAACAAATATATTTAAAGGAGAATTTGACCGCAACGTGGCCCGTTAAATCATAGTTGCCATAGGCCAAAATCTGAACACCCCATTCTAACTTCCTTCCTTACTACTCAAAAATAAAATTAGCCCTAACCGGTTTGGCTCAGTGGATAGAGCATTGGCCTGCGGACTGAAGGGTCCCAGGTTCGATTCCGGTCAAGGGCATGTACCTTGGATGTGGGCACATCCCCAGCAAGGGGGTGTGCAGGAGGCAGCTGATCGATGTTTCTGTCTCATCGATGTTTCTAGCTCTCTATCCCTCTCCCTTCCTCTATGTAAAAAAATCAATAAAATATATTTTAAAAAATAATAATAAAATTAAATTAATCAGGCCTTTGGGTTAAGAAGTTTATAATTAGCTATGGGCAGGAAAAAGTGGCTAAAGCAGTGCTCTTTGGTGTTCTGCCCCAAAAATACTTCTTTTTTTAAATATTTTATTTTTATTATTGACATTATTATAGATTTCCCCCCTTTGTGCCCACCTCCACCCAGACCCTGCCCTCCCCTCCCTCTGGCCCTCACCACATTGTTGTCTGTGTGCATGGCCTTTGCATATATGTTCTTTGTCTAATCCCTTCACCTTCTTTCATCCAGTCCACCCCATTCACCTCCCCTCTGGCATTTGTCAGTCTGTTCCATGTATCCATGCCTGTGTCTATTTTATTCATCAGTTTATTTTGTTCATTAGATTTCACATATAAGTGAGATTATATGGTATTTGTCCTTCCCTGAGTGGCTTATTTTGCTTAGTATAATAATCTCCAAGTCCATCCATGCTGTTGCAAAAAGGAAGAGTTCCTTCTTTTTTTTGGCCACTTGGCAACACTTCTTTGTGTTCCCACAGCTCATGTAGCTATCTGTTAACATGTCCTTAGTAGCAGACATTACAGCTTACTCATCCTTTTTTTTTTTTTAAACTAAAAAAAATTTTAATCCTCACTTGAGGATATGTTTTTATTGATTTTAAAGAGAAAGGAAGGGGGAGGAGGGAGAGAAAGAGAGAGAGAGAGAGAGAGAGAAAAGAGAGAGATCAACATGAGAGAAAAACATCAGTTGCCTCCCGAACATGCCCACACTGTGGATTGAACCCTCAACCTTTGGGTGTAGGGACGACACTCCAACCAACTTAGCCCTCCCCACCTCCACACCCCGCCAGGGCACAGCTTACTCATCTTTATGTCCCCAGCAATAAAGTGCCTTTTAGCATATATTTAGTAATATTTGATGAGTAAATAAATAAATAATCAAAAATAGTTCCTTCTTCATTTCCACAGTTCATGCAGTGTCTAGTAGAGCTTAAAGGGCTCTTACAAAAGGAAATTTATAAGAAATTCAATGAACTTGGACAAGATACGGATTTAGAAAGAAGTTGGAATGACATCTCTTTCTCTGACATCGAATCCAGGTAACAAACTTCATTTCAAAGAAAAACCAGAAAAGTTTTACTCTGCTCTGTTGTTGGTTTTGAACCTCAGGTGCAAAATATTAAATAAATCATGGCACACTTAAATACACTTCATTCCTTTGACAACTATGCATGTGTCTTGACTGGGAATCGAACTGTGACCTCCTGGTTCATAGGTCAGTGCTCCACCAGCCAGGCTTCAATGTAATTTTTTTAACTTGGCCTACCTTCCTCACGCTAATATTGCAACTTGCTCCCCTGCCTTCACCCTCCTGCCATTGCCCATCCGCCTTAGGTGATCGGACTTTTTCACAGCACCCAGGAAAGTAATATTCCTAGTCTCTGACCTTTAGCATTTTATCACCTCTGTCATTCTGTATCATTTACAACTGTATTGTGTCTCTTATTTGTTATCTTCCCCTACAAGGATGTAGGTTTCACAAGGCCAGAGATCTTTATTCTGTTTACTTCTGTATCTCATGCATCTCTACAACAGTACCTGGCACATGGGGAGAGCTCAGTAAATACTTGTTGAATTAATTTAGTACATAGATCTCAGCCCCACCCTCATAGTCTCCACAGCTATAGGTGGGTGGGTATCTCACATGTGTGCAAGAACACCAGCTACTCCAGCTTCTGGCCAAGGTGCCTCAAGCCTGCACCAGCTGCCCTCAGTCAGAAGGTTTCTGGGCTAGGCATGGAGGTCTTCTGCCAGGGGCTGCACTGTAGTCTGTGTGGACAGTGGGAAGCGGATGGCTCTCCCACACTCCCTGTGGCACATCGACATCTGACCCTAAAGCAGTTCTGCTGGCTGAGTCTCCTAGATGCCTCCTTAGGAACCTTAAGCCAGACCATCAGGCCCAGTGAAGCGCCCCATTCACCAGGTCTCCTCTTCCATTCTCCCAGAATCCTTTGCCTAACTCCCCAGGATAAGTGCACCAACCCCACTCTCACCCTCAAAAACTAAATGTCCCCTGCATATCAACTCATACAACAGAGCCCAGGGGACTCAACTCAGAAACAGCCAGACGCTCAGCAGGGAATGCCGACGCATTCAGTTAGGAATTATGGAAACCAGTTTGCCAGCCTCTGCATCAGGAACCCCCTTTCCATTCTCACCATCACACAGAGAAGCAGACTGAGTGTACAAGCTCAGTTGGAGTTTGCTCTGTCTGGGTGTGAACACACTGGTTTTGAGCATTTCTGGGCCATACATACCGCATCCAATGCTCTTATCCCGTTTGTTAACGCTCTCCATTACCTCAGAGACTGTTATCTAGTGGCCTCAAAGGCTGTGGAATTGGGAGTTAGATCAAAGAAGAGGAGGCTTTCTTCCCGCGGTCTTCTGTCGGGCTCCTCCTTGTCGTGCACCGGCGGGAGGGAGGGGAGCAAGAACAGAATGAAAGGGCTGAGCAAAAGGATGGTTTGAAATGCTGTCTTTACCCAGATTTGAGTTTTGTGCCGAAGACATTTTTTTATATGGAGCTCATGTTGCAGAGCACAGCTCTCAATTCTAGCCAGCCACTCTCCAGGAAGGGGAAAGATAATGTGACACATGGTAAAGGAAGAAAGGGCTCATTATCTGAGGCTCACTCATCCTAGCCCTTGAAGACTGGGGGCGGGGACAGTTCGTGAGGGGGGACTGGTGATCAGTCTAGACATGCATCCAGAACTTTTGAAAGGTGAATTGGGGTGATGAAAATAATATTCCTAGTCTCTGACCTATAGATTCTTTGTATTAAATATATTTATTTATATATTGAACACATTCTTAAAGAAGACCTGGTAGGATCCTGGCTCTCTGAACTGGTACTGGCCAGACAGGAATGAACGAGACAGAGTCCCTGCTTCCAAACAAATTATAGTTCCCTGGCATTCTCTAGGGCTGCACATTGAGAATCCTGCAGCCTCTCACAGTTGCTGCCAAGGGCAGCTCTGCCCATCTGACTGGTTGGTATTTTTTTTAAAGATTTTTAAAATTAATTTTTAGAGAGAGGAAGGAAGAGGGAGAGGACCATTGATGTGAGAGCAAAATTGATTGGCTGCCTCCTGCATGCCCCCAACCAGGAATTGAGCCAGCAGCGCTCGCATGTGCCTTGACCAGAAATCAAACCTGCAACCTTTTGGTGCATGGGACGATGCCCAACCAACTAAGCCACACTGGCCAGGGCAGGTTGGTGTTTTTATTTTTGTTTTGTTTTTTGTTTTTTTTGCTACACAGATTGCAAACTCCTTGGAGCAGGAGCTCTGCCGTGTCCATCTCTGTTTCCTGTGCCTGATGCACTACCTGGCATGCAATGGGCATTCAGAATGAATGAATGAATGAATGAATGAATGAATGAATGAATATGCTTGTCAAGAATTCTTAACAATTAAAACACAGTGTGGGCAAATAGTGGACTAGATATCCTAACCCCATGCAGATGGCCTGGTGAATGGTATACTTCCAGACATGAATAACGGGTTTTTCCCTTTCTTCTCTCCTTCTGAAAACAGCACCAGTGGTTCTGACAGTTCCCTCTCAGACGGTCTCCCTGTTCAACTCCTGAACATAGCACATGAGGTGAGATTAGATAGACTCTTATACCCAAAGAGTAGCAGCCTTAAAAAAGCATGGCACCACTGGATAATGTGGTGGAATTTTCCAACTATTCTAAGATCTGCAGAAAATAGAGCAATAGTGTCCCAACTGGTTATGAAGTCTTTGTCTGTTATAACTTTCATTTTAAAAATCTAGGGGGGCGGGGTGAGGACTCCATTTATTCCAAGTTAACTGAGAATGAGAAAAAGTTTAACTAAAAGTGAAAACCATGTTAAGAAATAGGTTATTATAAATGACTGATACTTGGTTGCCAGAGGGGAAGAGGGTTGAAAAGGTGAAGGTCTTAAGAAGTACAAATTGGCAAGTTACAAAATAGTCATGGGGATGTGAAGTACAGCACAGGGAATAGAGTCAATAATATTGTGATAACTATGGATAGTGGCAGGTGGTACTGGAAATATCGGGGACCACTATGGAAATTATATGATTATCTAACCACTATGCTGTACACCTGAGACTACAAAAAATAATATTGAATGTAAATTGAAATTTTAAAGTTGTTTTTAGTTATTTTATTTAAAAAAATGACCCATAATTTTTTTAAAAAAGTGTTTCTTTAAAAACATTTTTTTATTGATTGACTTTAGAGAGAGAAGGGAAGGGAGAGAGACATTAACTTGTTCCATTCATTTATGCATTCACTAATTGACTCTTGTATGTGCGCTGACAGGGAATCAAACCTGAAACCTTGGCATGTCGGGACGATGCTCTAACCAGCTGAACTGCCTGGCAGGATTAAAAAGTGTTTCTTTATTCATGTCGTCTTAGATCGTTTTTTATACTTTCACATATTAAGTAACTTTTTTGCCCCACCTGCTCACAGACGTTTTCTTACATAGATATTTACAAACAACAAAATATTTCTTATGATTTATTATGCACATGATTTCCTAATTGCATTAAGAAGTATCTCCATGCCGAACCGGTTTGGCTCAGTGGATAGAGCGTCGGCCTGCGGACTCAAGGGTCCCTGGTTCGATTCCGGTCAAGGGCATGTACCTTGGTTGCAAGCACGTCCCCACTGGGGGGCATGCAGGAGGCAGCTGATCGATCTCTCTCATCGATATTTCTGACTTTCTGTCCCTCTCCCTTATTCTCTATAAATAATCAATAAAATATATTATAAAAAAAAAAAAGAAGTATCTCCATCATAGTGTGAGATTAAGACTGTCAGGAGGAGCCTGCCAAATTATACTTAGCCCTGCAATTTCTTCAACTGTATTTACAGCAACATCAGATTAAGCTTCACCACACCATAGGTACCTGGAAAATTTGTCCTGAGCGTCATTTGCTTGAAGTAACAACCAAATTGAATCTTTTTGGTGTTGTTGTTAATCCTCACCCAAGAATATTTTTCCATTGATTTTTAGAGTGGAAAGGAGGGGGAGAGACAGAGAGAGAGAAACATCCATGTGAGAGAGACACATCAATTGGTTGCCTCCCACTCACCCCACAACCAGGGCTGGGGATTGAGCCTACAACTGAGGTTCGTGCCCTTGACTGGAATTGAACCTGGGACCTTCAGGCTGCGGGCTGACGCTTTATCCACTGAGCCAAACCATCCAGGGCCCAAATTGAATCTTTTAACCACACATCAAATAGTCAGTATTGCCTGTACCTGGCATTATTGCCATAGTGATCTGGCTTTAAATTAAAAGTCACAAATACTTGGTCATTGGAGTATGTATGATAGTAGGATTTGGGGGCTGTTACATGGGAAGCAGCCTCCGATAAGGAGGTAACAACTATTTGTTCTGCAAACCAACAGTGTAACCTGAGGACCGCACACTGGCTCAGCCATCGTGTCTTGAGTGTTGTGTGAAGAGTCCTCTGGGATCCTTTGTGACTAGTTTCTATGTACTTTTTGAAATAGTTGCATCATAAGAAGAAGATATACAAGAAGAAAAAAAAGAAGCCACTTCAGACGAGGAAACAGCGAAATGAACAGTATCGGAAAAATAATATGATACGGGAGTTGAAGTCAACAGAAGATGCCCTGGTAAGAAAGCTCTGCTGCCTGCCTCTACTGTCAGGTAAAGAGTATTCCATGAACGGCAGTACTGGGGGTTAAGGTTTACTCTAAATCAGAAGGGGGTCAGAGGTGAAAGCTTTCTGTCTTTCATGGTCCTCTGCTGTACTCTGGAGCTGCAAGTTTGGGCGTTGACCAAGTCTGGATTTCCAGAGGGAAGTGGTGGAATGGCTGGCAAAAGAGGGGCTGGAGCTAGTCAGGGTTGCTGGGTGCTGAGGGGTCAGGCCTGGCCCTGCTAACACTAAGGACACCTGGATAGCTCCTTCCTTGTCTTTCTCCCAGCTGTTGTACCTACATCATACCCTCTGCTTTCTAAAGTTGAAAATGCTTTCAGAGGTGGGCGTTTCACTGTTGGGTGAATTGGGTCAATTATGAGCAGATTAATTGCAATCCGTCAATTGAAAAACATTTTCTTTGCACTAATCCTTCTAGAAAAGACCAGGATTTGCTTCCACGATGCAAAAGCAGCCTTCCTTTTTAAAATATTCTGAGAATGCCAGTTCTTCAACAGTAAAAAATGAAAGACCAAGGATGAATGAGGTAATGTTTTTGCTTGACTTTTTTTTTAACTCACTCATGGAAAAAATGTATTAAAACTTTTTTGTAAGTTTTTTAAAGTGTACAATGTGATGATTTGATGTGCATACATTGTGAAATGATTCTCACCATTGGGTTAACTAACACATCCATCACCTCACATGGTCATCTTTTTTTCTTTTGGCGAGAACATGTCCATTTCTACTCTTAGCAAATTTTAATTATACAATGCAGTATTATTAACTATAGTCACCATGTTATACATCAGATCGTCACACCCTATCTGATAACTAAAAGTTTGTACCCTTTTACCATCCTCCCCCTATTTGCCCCACCTCCCAGTTGCTGGCAACCACCATCTACTCTGTTTCTATGAGTTTGAGTTTTTTAGGTTCCACATATAAGTGTAGTATTTGTCTTTCTCTGTCTGGTTTATTTCACTTAGCATAACGTCCTCCATGATCATCCATACTGTCATGAATGGCAGAATTTCCTTCTTTTTTTTTTTTCTTTTTTTTTTTTAAATATATTTTATTGATTTTTTACAGAGAGGAAGGGAGAGGGATAGAGAGTTAGAAACATCGATGAGAGAGAAACATCGACCAGCTGCCTCCTGCACATCTCCCACTGGGGACGTGCCCGCAACCCAGGCACATGCCCTTGACCGGAATCGAACCCGGGACCTTTCAGACCGCAGGCTGACGCCCCATCCACTGAGCCAAACCGGTGCTGGCAGAATTTCCTTCTTTATTATGGCTAAATAACATATGTTTGCACATATTTTTTCCCATTCAGTAGATTGCCTTTTAATTTTATTGATTTTCTGTGCTGTGCTTTTTAGTTGATGTAGTCTCACTTGTTTGTTTATTTTTTTCTTTTGTTGTCTTTGCTTTTGTTGTCAAAACAACAAAAAAATCATTGCCAAGACCAATGTCAAAGAGCTTACTTCCTATGTTTTCTTTTAGGAGTTTTCCAGAGTTAGATCTTAAATGTAGGTTTTTAATCCATTTTGAGTTGACTCTTGTGTATGGTGTAAGACAGGTACAGTTTCATTCTTTCACATGTGAATATCTAGTTTTTGAAACACCATTGTATATTCTTGGCTCATTTGTTAAAAATTAAATGACCATATATGCATGACTTTATTTCTGGGCTCTATATTCTGGTCCATTCTTAACTCTCGTTCACACAGATTCTGTAATTTTTCCAATTAGTATGTCTCTCCCACACGGCGAAGAACACAATAGCCCTCTGTGTCACCCTTACCTGTCAGTGACACTGGGAGCAGGGGAACACTAACATTTGGTGGGGAGACTGGCTCTGCTTTAGATTACACACCACTGAAGTCTGACACCAAATTTTGGTGATTTGTGACTTTATATCTAGAACATAAGAACAGTCTGTTTTACCATCCAGCCAGCTGTTTATTTTATTCAACAAATTGTATTTGTGTAACCACTATGTGCCAGGCCCTCTCCTGGATGTTGCAAATACGACATTGAACAAAACACTGTCCCTGCCTCAGGGACCTTAGAGTCTGGGCTGGGGATTTGACAAGTAAACAGCAAATGACATAACAGAGTAGGGAACACAGGGAACACAGAGGAGAAGCACCTAACCAACTTTTATACTTTCAAGTTTTGTGGCTATAAAGTCCTTGGTTCTTTTTTTTTTTTAATTTTTTTTTATTGATTTCAGAGAGGAAGGAAGAGGGAGAGAGAGATAGAAACATCAATGATGAGAGAGAATCATTGATTGGCTGCCTCCTGCAAGATCCCCACTGGGGATGGAGCCCACAACCTGGGGATGTGCCCTTGACCAGAATTGAACCTGGGACCTTTCACTTTGCAGGCTGACGCTCTACCCACTGAGCCAAACCAGCTAGGGCAGTCCTTGGTTCCTTTACGTATAAATATAAGTTTTGGTACAACAGTAGCTAATTCTTAATGGGTAGAATGTAAAATTGGCCCTCCTGTGGCAGAATGCTACCCCGTGAGTAACAGTGAGATAAAGAGGCCCTGCTGTGTTACACTGAGGAACCCTCACAGGCGCAGGCATCTCCATTCAGTAGTGAGGGACATCTGGGGTCTAGTGTAATAGTGACAAGGAAACAGCTCTGAAATCTGTCTTGAGTTCAAACGTCACCCCCACCATGTAATTTTTTGTGAGATACTGAACCATCCTGGGACTCTGTTTCTGCATCTAAAATATCTATCTATATAAAAGCCTAAGTGACTGTTACGACCGGATGACCAATCGCTATGACATGCATTGACCACCCAGGGGCAGATGCTCAATGCAGGAGGTGCCCCCTGGTGGTCAGTGCACTCCCACAGCCAACCTCCCATGGCTGGCCCCCATCAGCCTGATAGGGACTGAGCGAGATGGGCCCCAATTGGCCCCAATCACCGGCCAGGCCAAGGGACCTGTGCATTCACCTGTGCATGAATTCGTGCACCAGGCCTTTAGTTGGGGTAATTATATCAACAACATAAGGTTGGTTGAGAAGATTAGATGTGAATCTGTGTGTAAGGGGCCTGGCATATGGTAGGTATTCAATAAATATTATTGAATTATTTTGAATTATTTGAATTATTTTCTTTGAATTATTTGTGTCCTGCCTCTCTTTTTGTGTTAAGAGTATCATAATGAATCAACATGCATGAATGAAAAACACTTAGAGAATGTATATTCTACATACTCACACTTATCCAAGTAGAAATTTTAATGAGAATGTGTTCATTTATTCTAGTCACAGTTAAATGGAAGAGACAAAGGCATCTCCCTGGACCTGTCAAAAGCAACTAGCTTGATTCTGACTAAGAATAAAGAAAGAAAGCAGGTATTTCACCTAACATATATTATACCTATATGCTGGTGATTTACTTTATTTGGTTTTGAAATGTATTATGTGATTTGGAGGGGTGGTAATCCACAGTCCACGCAGTTTCACCTTCTCAGATTTGTTCTGCTCAGGTAATTTGCACCCTGGGGCACAGCCCACCAGGTACTGAAGGACACAGACAGCCCTCCCAGAGCTAACAGTTTGCCATGGAGAAGGTACCTTTATTTCAACGAACATTTGTTGGGCAGCTGTTATTTTGTAACTCCAGGCAACGTCTCAGGTAAAACAGTGATAGTGTAATGCAGCAGTTCTCACCTCAAGAGTTATTAGCAGCAAGTGGAGTAGGGTAGCTATGACGTATGCCCACGCGCTGTGTTACAGTGATCCTTCAATGCTGAGGTTTGTGAATGGTTTGCTTTCTTAGAAGAATAAGTTAGCGTGAGCTCATATTTATCCCTATCCATCGCTCTTGTTCCTTGGCACTTGCATAGTCTTTCCTGAAAGGGAGGCAGAGAGGGACATATGGTAAGTAAGCTGTTGTTTCAAATACCACTGGGTGCAGCTCATGTGTCCAGGGAAAGATTGGAAACCACTGGATTGAGTAGGTATACTGGATATAGCACCCACAGTTCTCCTGAGGGGAAGTCCCTCCTTTCTTCTCAAATCTGTTGCTTGAGAATTGTCAAGTTGATGTTCTCATTTATTCAGCAGTATCCTATGGAGAACCTATTAGGTGCCAGGCCCTTTGAGGACAGTAAGATATGACCCCTCCCTTAAGGCAATGACCCTCTACATGGGGGGGGCAAGATAGTCCAACCACCTGGTATAACAGAAACTGAAGAGCAATGAAAAAAGAGGGTTAGCCCTAGCCAGTTTGGCTCAGTGGATAGAGTGTCGCCTGTGGACTGAAGGGTCCCAGGTTTGATCCTGGCCAAGGGCACATGCCCAGGTTGCAGGTTCGATCCCCTCCCCAGTAGGGGACATGCAGGAGGCAGCCAATCAATGATTTTTTCTCATCATTGATGTTTCTGTCTATCTCCCTTCATCTCTGAAATAACTGAAAAAATATAATTTAAAAAAAAGAGATGTTTAAATAAAGTCAAAACAAAGAGAGTTTCTGTCCTGACAGACAAATAAGTGATGGACTTGCCCTTTCTCCCCATTCAGCATTTATTACAACAAGCTGTGGGTGCCTAAAACCATATCCTGCAACTGAATCATGCTGGTTAAGCTGCAACATGTAACCAGGGATTCAGTGAAACCCAGTGTACTGGATGAATGCCTTCCAAACCTCTACCTTTACTTAATTTTCCTAAAGTTCCCAGTGTAGTATCTCTCTAACAGAAATGTAGGCATGCAACTTCAAGACAGCTTATAAAATGCAGTTCCTGAACTGCTCAGAGCAATTAAAATGTTGCCCATAGAGAACCAAGATGGCTGCATAGGTAAACACCTGTACTTGCTGCCTCCCACAACTACATCAAAATTACAACTAAAAGACAGAACAACTATCATCCAGAACCACAGGAAAGCTGGCTGAGTGGAAGTACTACAACTAGAGAGGTAAAGAGGAAAGCATAGCGAGACTGGTAGGAGGTGTGGAGGCACGGAATGGGCTGGCACCCAGGTGCGCTGCTTTTTTAATCAGGAGGGAGATACAAGCTCCCACTTGCTCTGAACTCCAGTGCTGGGCAAGACTCTGGGGGACCCAGACACATACGGGGAGAAACTGGACTGTCTGGCATCGGGGCCAGAACATGGGGGCAGCTTTCTTCCAGACAGAGATGCTCGCAGTGGTCATTGCTCCTGTGCTGGGACCTCCCAGGTGCAGGGCTGACTGGCAGCCATTGCTGTTTGCTCCACCCTGGAGATTCCCTGAGAACCTGCCCCACCCAATTTACAATCCCACCCAAGCTGTGCACAGCAGCTTTTGCATATGAATGGCCTGTCCTTTCTCAGCCTAAAACCTGTCGAACAAGCTGCAGCTAGGTCAGGGAGCCCCAAAGCTACCAAAAGAAGGCCCAAGGCTGGCACCAGCAGCAGCCTGCCTTGCTGCACAGTGCCTTGCTTGTATCTGGGCACTTCCAAACCTGATACAAAGAGGAGGAATCTGCAGATCTCTCCATAGCTCCTGCTGGGTGGACACAGGCAGTGGCTGGCTTTGCACCGCCTTGGAGGTCCAAGAGCCAGTGTACCCAATGGTGAGTGTGAGGCCATACCAGATTATAACTCTTCACATCCATAAGCAACACACTCAAGGGGCAGACTCAGTGAGCACCAAACCCCACTGAAGCAAGTCCTGCCCCATAAGGATGTCTCCTGTACAGCAGCTCTTCCATTGTAGACACAGCTGGTCCTCACAGCCAATTGGCCTGGAGGTCAATTCCTCCCAGTGATACCAACAGCAATCAAGGCTCACCTACAACAAGACTGTGCACACAGTCCACAAAGGGGTGCACAGAGAGTGTCCACCTCAGGTGATTGGGGAGGCTGAGCCACTGGGCCCTATAGGACACATACTACACAAGGCCACTCTATCAACTCAAGGAGACTTAACAGCTACCCAATACATAGAAACAAACACAGGGAAGCAGCCAAAATGCTGAGACAAAGAAACATGTCATAAAGGAAAGAAATGGAAGAAAGCAAACTACTGGATATAGAGTTCAAACCTCCGAGGAACTTAGTGAGACCTTCAAGGATATTAGTGAAAATGCAAAAAAAAAGGAAAGGACCAGTCAGAAATTAAGCATACACTGACTGAAATAAAGAATAATATACAGAGATTCAACAGTAGACTGGAGGATCCCAAGAATCAAGTCAAAGATTTGAAATACTAGGAAGCAAAAAACACCCAACCAGAAGAGCAAAAAGAAAAAAGAATCCAAAAATATAAAGATAGTGTAAGGAGCCTCTGGGACAACTTCAAGCATACCAACATCCGAATTATGGGGGTGCCAGAAGAAGAGAGAGAGCAAGATATTGAAAACCTATTTGAAGAAATAATGACAGAAAACTTCCCCTACCTGGTGAAAGAAACACACTTACAAGTCCAGGAAGTGCAGAGAATCCCAAATAAGAAGAATCCAAAGAGGACCACACCAAGACACATCATAATTAAAATGCCAAGGGCAAAAGACAAAGAGAGACTCTTAAAAGCACAAGAGCAAAACAGTTAGTTACCTACAAGGGAGTACCCATACACCTGTCAGCTGATTTCTCAACAGAAACTATGAAGGCCAGAAGGGAGTGGCAAAAATATTCACACATTGTTTGCGGGTAGTTTTTATCGCGCGCTAACAGGTGGCGTGGGCCATTTTTGCTAATTTTTTGCGCAAATGGCAATGTTCAGTAAAATTACGATAACTTTAGTTTACGTATTTATATGTTACCCACATTCTACCGCTAGTCTATAAAAAACGTATTAATACGTGTCCCGCGCTCTACTACACTGGTAGAATGTATAAATACGTAAAACATATAAATACATTTCCCGCATACAATGTGTTCAAAGTGATGAATAGCAAGAACCTACAACCAAGATTACTCTACCCAGCAAAGCTATCATTTAGAATTGAAGGTCAGATAAAGAGCTTCACAGACAAGAAAAAGCTAAAGGAGTTCATCACCACCAAACCAGTATTATATGAAATGCTGAAGGGTATTCTTTAAGAAGAGGAATGCCGGGAGCCGGTCCATGCTTGCTGTTTCAAGGGACCTGGCATATATGGCATACTGTTCTTAATATGTTTGCTCACCTTCTTGGCACTATGTGTTTTTACCAAGGTCTCTGAGAAAGGTTGTTTCCCCAGGTAGGGATTTTCCCCTGAAGTTAGGGAGGGAATAAAACCTCTTAACTAGTGCCAGGTGGGTAATTAATCACTTTAACTACGAACAATCATGCTTAAGCTACATAATCTTTACTCCCTGGAATGGAGATAAGAAACGCCCTAACCTTTGTAATAGAGATTGATAGGATTGAATCAACTGGTATAAATACAGATGTAATAAGACAGCAAGAGACAGAACTTAGAACACAGAACTTAGAATACAGAGCTTAGAACACAGAACCTACAGACAGAAGAACTTCGCTGGAGAGAACATGGCAAAAGATCCTGGACTGAACCTGACTACAGAAATTGGCAAGAGAACCTGACTAGAACCTGGTGACTGAACCTGGCTGGAGAACCTGGACAGAACCTGGCTGGAGAACCTAGCGAGGGAACATGGCTAATGAACCTGGCTGGAGAACCTGGACAGACCCTGGCAGGAGATCCTAAGCAGAACCTCTCTGGAGATCCAGACCAGAACCTGGCTGGAGATCCTGGCTAGCCTGCTGATCAACTGAACGCTGTCTCCATGTCATTCCTTCTTCGCCAACTCCGTCCACACCTTTGGGGACCCCTGGACCCGCTGGGGCCGGACCCCGGCAGAGGAAGAAGGAGGAAAAAGGTAAAGATAAAAAATTATGAACAACAAAGTGACAACAAATACATATCTATCAACATGTGAATCTAAAAATCAAATGAATAAAAAATCTGATGAACAGAATAAACTGGTGAATGTAATAGAATCAGGGGCATGGAAATGGAGTGGACTGACAATTCTCAGGGGGAGGGGTGTGTGTGGGTGCAGGAAGAGATTGGACAAAGATCTTATACCTATGAACACGGACAGTGGGGTGGTGAGGTCCTGGGGTGGGGTGAGAACCGGGTGGAGAGGGGTTATGGGGGGAAAAAGAGAGGAACATCCGTAATAATCTGAACAATAAAGATTTTTAAAAAATGTTGGCCACAGACAGCTGGCACTCTGAGGGACAAAGGCAAATGCTTGATTTGCCTCTGCCCTGTAACAACTATTTCTCACTAACTCCTTGTAAACCAACCTGCATCCTTATTCTAACTTTACAAATTGCAACATAAAGTGAGCTCAACTTTTATATCTTGTTTGCACAGACAGAAAAGCCAGGATTTGCATGCTCTTCAAAGAGAAGCACAAACACCGGCAAAGAGCCAGATCGGGATACGAAGCCACACTGGTCCAGGAACAGGTTTCTTGCCACAAAGAGAGGCCACACCACCGTGGCGGGGTGCCCGTCCTTGCACATATACACATTCCCGTAGGGCCCTAGGCCACACTACACGGTGCCTCCGTGGCATGTTTTGGGTGAGCCTCATTTGTAATGAGGGAGTTGTGTGGTGGGTAACTGCGCTTGTTGGTGGTGTACTGTGTTGTGCATTCACATGCACTGACCTTCCACTATGTGCATGCCTTCAAGATGCACACCTCATTCATTAAATTACTTTTCATAAAATGAAGCTTCATTGTGATGTATGGAAAAGCTTCCTTTATCAGAAGTTCAAGTGTGTTCTCCTGGAACAATAGACAGAAATACCTCACTTTAACCAGTAGATATCCTGTCTAAAATTATGTGCAAATCAATTTTAAGTGATAAACTCTGTTTTAAACATATTCTGTGAGTGTGCCATGTTAAAAATGTGTCACAACTTGCTAGTGATGTCAAACTGTGGTATCTCAGACTTGCTCAGGATGAGATGTTCCCACATATAGAAAACAATTCATGTATTACCCGAAATTTAATGTTGCATATATTATGTTCAACACAGTTATGTAAGTTTTAAAACCCATTTATTAAAATTATTTCTCTATAACCAGTTGTTTCCATTGATTGGTTAACCGCATAAGCTTTTGTGAACAGGTATTTTAGGTCCCTCACAAGCACCTATGTTGTCAGCGTGCGAGTATCATGTTCAGAAAGGGTCACCCCAGGTCCTCCCAGGCTTCCCATTTGAATTACTTTCTTCCTATCACATTGGGGTACAGCCCGACACCTTTTAGCTTTTTCTTTTAAATATATTTTTATTGATTTCAGAGAAGAAGGAAGAGGGAGAGAGATAGGAACATCCATGATTCGCTCATCATGGATCAGCTGCCTCTTGCAAGTCCCCCACTGGAGATCGAGCCCACAACCCAGGCATGTGCCCTTGACTGGAATCGAACCTGGGACCTTACTGTTCACAGGCCGATGCTCTATCCACTTAGCCAAACCGGCTAGGGCCCTATACCTTTTTTCACTTCTCTTATCTATACTGCTGACTTCTGCTCCCTTTCCTCTGAGATTCTTCCCCAAACTTCGTGGGCAACTTCTCTCCTGTACCATAGGAGAATATGGTGGAGCCGCTTGTATCTCCCAACCACCCACTCTTGCCAGAGGCTCTGTACCTCTCAGTGCCCACACGTATCAGTGGGGCAGAGACAGTGGATATTTTGTTGGCACCACCAATATACAAATCTATGACTAAAAGTCCTCTTGCTAAATGATCTCAGACATTGTCTGGTTAAACACTGTTGTTTAGATTATCAATTGTATTGATATCTAAAATTTTCTGGATTTAGTTAGAAGCAACTTATGTTTCTTATCATTCTAAAAGCTACAGTTATATATTATTTTATTTTGTGCCAGGATGGATAGGCTTATCGTATCATTCAATCCTCATAACAGTATGAAGTAGACATTACAATACTAATTTGTCTAAGATTCAAAGAAGTCCTGTGATTTGCCTAAAGTCACAGTTAATAACTGGTAGAAGATGACTTTGGAGCAGGTCCACTGAATTTTAAAGACCAAGCTCCTTCCTGCTCTGTAAACTGCCTCCCCATATCACCTAGCACTGTGCTGAGTACAGGACAATATTAATCAAAACTAACTTTTGTCTTTTATCATACAGTTTTTAAAAAATCTTATCCTGTACAGAATTTCACTTAATGCTCAGTAACCCTGAGAGATAGGTATTAGAGTTACTCTTAAATTTGAATACAAAATCTGAAAACAAAAGAAGAGAAAATGACTTCTGAATCACTTCGATACAAAAGAAAGCCGGAAAAAGAAAATAAAGTCAGGATCTAATACAAGACGTCTTGGCATTTCATTCTCTGTGCCCCACTTTGTCTCACTAAGTGTTGTTTGATATAGAACATGTGGGCTGGGGCTGAAGGGGTAAGGACAATGTCTTTTTCTTTTTGCTTCTAAAAGCCTGTACTCTGATGGGCACGAAAGTGTTTGTTCATTCATGAGCACCTGGGATGTGCCAGGCTCAATATACAATGAAAAAAGGCTGAAAGTTCCTGAAGTCAGCTTACATTGTAGTGTGGAGAAGACAAACAGATAAACTACAAGGATATGTCCTACAGGACGCTGTGGTAGGAAATAAGGGGGAGGTAAATTTACAGAAAGACCAGAAAAAGCATTTCTGAGAAGCTAGCATTAATTGAATGAATGCATGAATAGCAACCATAGTTTTTGTTGGCTATTAGATTTTTTTTATGGTTCTGACGGCGAATACCCTTTGGACCTTATGTTGCTGATGCCCAAATGCCAACTGCAGAGGCGAGTCATAACGAAGAATCCTTCCCATTATTTTCTTCTTCTGACCTTGCCTTAGCTGTCAGGGTCACACACACCCATTGCCACGCCCATTCTTCTGCTTCCGGGCGCTTCCGGCCTGCGCAGGCGCAGGAGAAACTCCCGTTCCTAGTGGAGGGCGCGGATCCTACTACAAAACGCATGCGCCCCAGTCCCGTAGGCCCCGCCCAGACCCCTGCGCGGGCGCGCGAGCGCCAGCCGTTTCTCGGGGCGGGGCGGTGGGCGGGGCCAGGGGGAGAGGCGCGCGCCGCTGTGTGTGCGTGCGCGCGCGCCGCGGGCGGGCCAGTGATCCGGGACCGGCTTGGTCGCTAGGTGGCTCGGTCTGTCCGTCCGTCCGCGGGTGCCATCATGGCGGACGCGGCCAGTCAGGTGCTCCTGGGCTCCGGTCTCACCATCTTGTCCCAGCCGCTCATGTACGTGAAGGTGCTCATCCAGGTATGAGTCGTCGCCATTCCCTTCCCCGCCCGGCTCCCTCTTCGGTTGCCGCTGCCCGCGGCGCCGGAGGGCCGGCTCCAGCCTTCCCGGGCCTTCAGCCGCCCGAGATGCTCCTCTGCGGCCCCGTCCTTCCCGGCAGGGACAGCTTCCACCGCCCGCCGCCCATCCGCCGCTGTGGGCCTTCGGGGGCTCGGCTTCTCTGCCAGGAGGCGAGGCCCGCCCCGTCCCCGTCGCCAACTGCCGCCCTGCCCTGCACGGCGGCTCCTCTGAACTTTGTATTTTCTCTCCTGAGGTTGATCTCGGCCGCTCGTCGCCGAGGGCTTCCCCCACCCACCCCTCGCCTCCGAAATCGGTATTCCCTCCTTCCCCTGCCCGGACGGGAGACACGCAGATCTGTTAAAATCTGAAATGAGAGCTAACATTTCATGAGCATTATTTTTCTCCTTTGACTGCTCTTACTGCCTTTCTTCTGTTCCGAGATTTTAGCCCCAGATAAACACAGGAGCCCTTTCAGCGGGGACCGCGAAGGGGGCCCGGAACTGCGGAGGGTCCCGAGCGCCCTCGACGGCAGCCGCCCATGTGGCACCTGACGCCGAAATCACATGTCTGCGCTGGAAATCAGTTCAGCGGAAAGTGTCAGCGCGTTGAAACATATATGTTAGTTTCCAGTGCCCTGTAAAATAATTCTTTTTTAAAAAATATTTCATTGACTTTTTAGAGAGAGGAAGGGGGAGGGACAGAGAGTTAGAAACATGGATGAGAGAGAAACATCGACCAGCTGCCCCCTGCACACCCCTCACTGGGGATGTGCCCGCAACCAAGGTACATGCCCTTGACCGGAACCGAACCCGGGACCCTTCAGTCCGCAGGCCGCCGCTCAGGGCAATTCTTAAAGGTATTTGTATTCACAGGCAAGTAGGCCAGGTTTCAGCCTATGATAAAGTTAGTGTTACCAGTTGCCTTTTTAGCTTCCCTGCGGTGGGAGGGAACTCACAGAGCTTACCTTTGTTGAGAGTTGACATACTTACATCACGCCTTGTGCCAAGGCTTGGACGCCTTTAGAAGTCGTCCTTTCTGCCCGGCCGGCCGGCCTCAGTGACCCCCTGTGACCCCGGAAGTCACGGTTGGGTGGGGCGTGCAGGAGGCAGGGGATCTGTGATTCTCTCTCAATCTCTGCCTTCCTCTCCGAAATCAATAAAAAAACATCTTAAAAAATCAAGAAGTCTACCTTTCTGTCAAAAATATGCAAGACACGCCCTAGCTGGTTTGGCTCAGTGGAGAGAGCATCTGCCCGCGGGCTGAAGGGTCACGTTCGATTCTGGTCCAGGGCAAGTGTTTGGGTTGCAGGCTCCATCCCCGGCCCTGGTTGGGGTGAGTGCGGAGGCAACCGATTGAAGTGTCTGTCTCACATCTATGTTTCTCTCTCTCTGTCTCCCCTTCCCTTCCACTCTCTAAAACTCAATGGGAAAATAGCCTCCGGTGAGGATTAACAGCAACAAAAAATATATGCAAGACACTGGGGAGGAAGGACACTGGGGAGGAAGGACCACCTTGAGTTGATGCTGACCCAAATGGTGTGTTGCTGAGTTGACCCTTGTGGATTCGGATTCTATATGTAAAACGCTATTGTAAAATAAGTTATTTGATCCAAGAACAAAGACTTGAATGGGAATGTATACTATGTCATCTAAACCGGAGTTGACAGGTTTGTGGCCAGAGAGTATCTCCAATGACAGCATTTTACAGTAAATCGGTATGAGTCCATTGCCCAGTACTTTTACGGAACGTAGGATTTTCTAGTGACATTCAAAGCTTTTGCCTCAAAAACTTGAATATCCTTAATCCTAATTACACAAAATCTACCTGTTGCCAAGTGTCTCAGGGGTTATGGTAAAATTCCCAAATACATGGTTTTGTTTTTTTGTTTGTTTTTTATAAACAGGGGTCCAAAGGCCCAAAGATATTTGGGTTTAATAGAAGTTATAGTCTAGTGCAGCCGTGGGCAAACTACGGCCAGCAGGCCGGATACGGCCCGTTTGAAATGAATAAAACTTAAAAAAAAAAAAAGACCGTACCCTTTTATGTAATGATGTTTACTTTGAATTTATATTAGTTCACACAAACACTCCATCCATGCTTTTGTTCTGGCCCTCCGGTCCAGTTTAAGAACCCATTGTGGCCCTCGAGTCAAAAAGTTTGCCCACCCCTGGTCTAGTGCCTGCTGCCCATGCGTCCATTTCACAATCAATATTTCTGCGCTCCTGAGTGTTTCCAAGGTTTGATAATTCTAAGGCGAACGGTGAATCGCCTGAGTTTTGGCCAGCTTCATAGAAAATGAACATTACAACAATAACAGCAAAAACAACTCCAGAAACAGCCATTATCATTGCAAGAGAAAAAGGTATATCACTCGATAAGAAAGCGATCACAGAAATTCCCAGTAGGAGAATGCTTAATCCAATATTTAAAAATGAGATATATTTGTAAAAATCCTGGGGAAACCATTCCTGCCATATTCTCAGCAACCAGCTCCCCTGGTCGGAAGCTTGAGAAAACGGGATCATGATGAGTCTTATCTGGTATTAAATGCAGTTCTTGGACAATGGAAACCAGCAAACACCCTTCAAGATGAAATCCAAATACATAGTTTTTAAAATAGTGGCATAGTTACACTTTCAGGGAGCTCCGTCAGGAGTTATTTAATTGAGCAGGTTAAGAATCACCGCAGTAGAGCCCAAACCGTGTCCTACAGCGTTTTCATTCTCTCAAACTCTAAAAAGAATATACTGTAGAAATAAGATGATAATCATTAACTCTAAAGTAGCCTTCGTTTGGTTGTTCATGACAGTCTGCTGTTTAACGTGGCCATAGCTTGTAATTATTCCCCAAGTGAATTATCCAGCTGTATCTGCATTTGCTTTTTGAGTGTTTTGTTTTGCTAACCAAATACAAAGTTGATAGCTTAGTCTTCTCATTTTGTCCAAATATATGAAATGTGTTAGTTTTCTTCAGAAAATATTTTTGCTTTCCTAGCACAGAAGTTCCCTTTTTCTACTTTCAGTTTGATATTAGTGTATCTCAGCTAAATGGCTTGCCTTATAGAATTTGAACCAAAAGAAAACTTGGAGTTAACTGAAACCAGTCTTATCAATCGACAAAACAAAAAACTGTCAAGGATGATGCTTCATCATCGCCTTGGAAAACATACACTGCATTTTAACTTGTGTTAAATATTAACCCTAATTTTGTTCTTAATTCAAGACCTTTCAACCAAGGCATTCAAGGGAATATTGCTTAGTAGTGATGATGTATTCTCTTGTTTTCAAAGGTGGGATATGAACCTCTTCCTCCAACAATTGGACGAAATATTTTTGGGCGGCAAGTATGTCAGCTTCCTGGTCTCTTTTGTTATGGTAAGTGTCTTTGATTTATTTGGAATTGGATGACATTGAGGATCATGACAGGCAGGAGTTACTGAAAAAAATTGTTAGAAACCATGTTTCCTTGAAATTTCTGTGTAACCCTTTCCTTCAACTAGAATTTAAATTTCTGACTTGTGTTCTTAGCTCAGCACATTGCGAGCATCGATGGGAAGCGTGGGTTGTTCACAGGATTAACTCCAAGGCTGTGTTCAGGAGTTCTCGGGACTGTGGTCCATGGCAAAGTTTTACAGGTAAGAAGAAAATCAGATAATCTTCCTACAGCTTTAGATTATCGTTTATGCAGTTTGTCCTACTTATCGATTCCAAATATATATTTATATGCCGTGGCTTTTCTTCTTCTTTAAAAATATTTGCATGAAATACCCATTATTAATTCTATCTTGGGAAGCAAAGGGAATTTGTGTGAAATGAAATAATTGATCTTTATTACACAACCTTCTTCCTCTGAACCTGTTGTTCTTTTCCTCACCTGAGGATATTGTTCCATTCATTTTTAGAGAGAGTGGAAGGGACGGGGAGAGACAGAGAGAGAGAAACATTGATGTGAGAGAGACATCGATTGGTTGCCTCCCGCATGCACCCCAACCAGGGCTGAGGGTCAAGTCTGCATTCTGCCCTTGACCAGAATTGAACCTATTGTTGGAGCAAAAATTAAATACACTTATTTGATCTCCTGTATAGCTGATTTTATTTCTTTGAAAAAGTAAAGCTGATTGAAACATAACTCATTCTGAAGTTATTCTCTTATTTCTAGAGTAATCCCTAGTAAAATGCTTTCTGTTACAATTTAAGTTTTTTAACAAGATCAACATAAAGGTCAGGGGATAATACTTATTTGTGGGGGGAGAGAGAGGAAGAGGGACCTTGCATTGGTTCTGGGGTAATGCAAATGATTTTTCTTGACCTGGACCGTGGCTATATGGATATTGCCTTTTAATTACTTATTACATTATACATTTGTATTTTGTGCACTGTTTCTTTATCTGTGTTACATTTGCATAAATTGAAAATTTGTTTTAAACCCTCACTAAAATATACAACAGCTGCAGGGTAGTGGTTACTTTTGGGAAGGGGGAAGAGGTAAGGGTGGAATTTAGCTACATCTGTGGCATTTTATTATTTTATTTTTAAATATATTTTATTGATTTTTTACAGAGAGGAAGGGAGAGAGATAGAGAGTTAGAAACATCAATGAGAGAGAAACATCGACCAGCTGCCTCCTGCACACTCCCTACTGGGGATGTGCCCGCAACCAAGGTACATGCCCTTGACCGGATTCGAACCTGGGACCCTTCAGTCCGCAGGCTGACGCTCTATCCACTGAGCCCAACCGGTTAGGGCTGTGGCATTTTATTTTAAGAAGGCAAGAGATCTTAAGCAAAAGGGGCAAAATGTTAACCTCTATTTAACATTTATTGGTGGTGGATATAAAGGTGAATTTTTTTCTGTATGTTTGAGATGTTTCATAATGTTTTTGAAAACATCAAAGTTACATTTATTTCTTTTTTAGTGATCCTTTGTTTTACCACCTTCTTTTAACTTCAAATGCTAAAGCATATAATTTTAATTGTACTGGTTTCTCAGTTGCATCATTACAATGTAGGTCAAACAGCATTGCCCTTTGCTCTATTTATAAAGGTTGTTATGAATACAAATTTTATATCATTTAAAACAGTCTATGAGAAGGTTATTCAGCATTAGTATAATTGAGAATGCAAAATTAATGGTTTTTTTCCTAGTGAATTATTCTGTCTCCTACTGGTACCAAGAGTGTGTTATACTCTGTGTTATAACTCAAAATATATAGTAGTGTATGCTAACCAAATCTGTATAATACTTTCAACCTATAATGTATCAGATGTGCTAAATTCCAAATATTTACTAATGGCTTATTTAAATAGTACTCAGTATAATCCTCCTTGTAATTTTTTAGGCTTTAACATTGCCCCAATTCTAATGTTTTATCATCTGATCAGCAAATCATGATTTTGTTAAATAGTTGCATTATCTAATTGCCTTAGATTTTAAGTGCTTTTCGACCTTGATTTGAATTAGAGAGTTTTTTCAGTCAGTTTCTCACATGGAAACTATTTCAACCTCCAGTTATTTTAATATTATTTATGTTATTCTTTTTTTAAAATATATATAAATATTTTTATTAATTTCAGAGATGAAGGGGGGGGGAGAGAGAAAGACAGAGAGAGAGAGAGAAACATCAGTGATGAGAGAAAATCATTGATCAGCTGCCTCCTGCATGCCCCACACTGGGGATTGAGCCCACAACCTGGGCATGTACCCTGACTGGGAATTGAACTGTGACCTCCTCATAGGTCGATGCTCAACCACTGAGCCATGCCAGCTGGGCTCTTAATGTTACTCCTGTTGTCGTGCCTATGGACTGAATTTAGAAGCCCAGTTCCGGGTAGTCTGTGGGTCAGAATGATGGAGTATTAATGATTTTTTGGTGCATTGATTACTGTTTCTTTTCTAGTCACACCCTACTCTGGGCTCAGGGAAAGTATTGCTGTTACCTAAATGAGATTCATATACACAAAGGCAATTGTCATGTAGTCAAAGAGGTTTAGGTATAGACTGAGAGCAAAGTGAAATTACTGCTTAAAACCAAGTTCCGGAAAGTAGGACAAACTTGAGGTATCCAAATATCCATTGGAATATGTGTTTCACGTGCAGTTAAAATAACGGGATTGGTACTACATTTAGTATCAAAAAGAGGTTATGCAGTCAAGAAGACAGACCAATTCAGGGTTGATGCAACTGTTAAACTTTATAAGAAAGAGTTCTACATATCTGAACAAGGGTTAAACTAAAATCTGTTTGGAATAATGTAGAAGTGACAGGTAGAAAATTTTATTAATGGAATAAAAAGCAAAGTCTAGAAATGAGTGAGAACTGTTTTAAACATGCCCGAAACTATTACAATTAATTCTAGTCAAAGACCTCTAATTTGACCAAAAAACACTATTTTGTTTAATCTTGATCTTTGTTCTTTTGCCTCTGATCTTTAAAAACATAATTCTTTTTACAAGATAAAGTGTTGTCTATTTTTTAATCTGGTGTGACTAGGAGCTTAATTGTCTGAGTCTTTCAATTTCACCTAGCCCATCTTTTATTTCTGAAATATCCCACAAATACTATTTCCTCTTTCAATATAACTGAGCTCCATCAGTATTCATGTTCTCTTCCCTGGTAGAAAAAAAGTCTCTCTTTGCTTGTTTTGGAAAGAGATACAAAAGACAATGTGAGGCGATTTCAGCTATTCAGACTTAGCACCAGTTCTCTGTTCTTTTGTACAGTGAAGAAAAGAGTCTTGCCCTAATTTGGTATTGGTCCTGCTTTTCTCTGTGAAAGACAGGAGGTTTTTTCCATGGCCTTAGTCCTAGGCTATGTTTTTAACAAATTTGTTTTCTGTTAAATGTATGTTTAGTAAATGATCTTAGATTTTTGTTTTTGTTTTCCTTTTTCTCCTTTTAGATGTGTTTTCTTGAGCATTTGCTTGTCCCTTCAGCTGACCCAGTATGTTAAACTTAGCAACAAGATTGTCTTAGAGCTAATTATAATTGACTAGTTAAAGTTAGAAGTTAATGGGAGATTTGCAGCAAAAAA